GGGACATGACGGCCGCCTGCCAGGCCGAGGCCGAGGGCGCTGGCGGGGAGCCCGGCGCGGCGCGGCTGCCCTCGCGGGTGGCCCGGCTGCTGTCGGCGCTCTTCTACGGGACCTGCTCCTTCCTCATCGTGCTGGTCAACAAGGCGCTGCTGACCACCTACGGGTGAGGCGGGGCCCGGGGCCGGGGGTCTGCGGGAGTGCGGGGCTGCCCCTGCCCTCCGTGCGCCTCAGCCGCGCCCGGGACAGGGCGGGTGGGGACAGGGACCCCGGAGTCTCAGCCGGGCACAGTGGCGGAGTTTCCCAGGCGCCCTCTGGAACTCGCGCAGCTTTCCACACTCAGGCCACAACCTGAGAACGTCGTTCTCCTCTTCCTGAGCGCGCCTGCCCTGCTGCGGGGCGCCCCGTCCTCGGCGGGCTGGGGGAGCTCGGACAGATGCTTCCACACACCCAGCGAGCTGAAAACAGGGATTCCAGTGCCTGCTTCGAAGGACGCAGTTCCCTACACAGATCTCCGTGTTCAACGGTCAGGTACTCCTGAGCCCATAAGTCTGTACTGATTGACTCTTCATTCTCAGATGACCAGCGTGTTCAGGGAAAACTCGGGAAAACAATCGGAAGTTCATACGAAGTACTTTTTTGGATTAGTGTGAAGTAAACCAGCAAATCTGTGCTGTCTGGAACCTATTTGTAAGGACTAGAAAATCCTGCTTAATTCTGCTACCATCGTAGCGGCACTGACAAAATTGTGGATTTAGACCCAGCTTCACCAGTTAACAGCTGTCTCTTTGGACCAGTCTCATCGTCAACAATTTTTTTTCAGATGCAAAAAAACTGAATGATTACAATCGGGTTAATTACCTTCCAGGGCTCTGCGAGAGCTGTTATACGTGAAGGCTGTTTGTAAACTCTACTGTGTTACAAGAATGTGCCATCAACATTTCAGAGCCCAAAGAGACCTAGAGAGTGTCTTAGCTAGAGAGTATCTTAGAGTATCAGCTTTCTTATTTTATGTATATATACCGATTGAGCTTATGTGGGTCTCAGTTTTCTCTAATAGAAAATAAGAAAGCGGAGGCTGGATGAGGTGGTTTGCACCTGTAATGACAGCATTTGGGAGGCCAAGGCAGGCATATATATATAAAATATACAATAATATATATAATATATATTATAAAATATATAATAATATATATAATATATATTATAAAATATATACATATATACATATAGTGTGGGGGTGTGTGTATATATATAAAATTTTTTTGAGACAGGGTTTCACTCTGTTGCCCAGGCTGAAGTGTAGTGACACAATCATGGCTTGCTGCAGCCTCGACCACCTGGGTTCTAGCAGTCCTTCTGCCGCAGCCTCCAGAGGAGCTGGGACCATCGGTGTGCACCACTACACCGGCAGTTTTTTGGATTTTTTTGTAGAGGTGGGGTCTCAGTGTGTTTCCCAGGCTGGTCTTCAACTCCTGGACTCGAGGGCTGCTATGGCCTCCCAAAGTGCTGTGATTACAGGTGCAAACGATCATCCAGCCTCACCTTTCTTATTTTATATTCGAGAAAACTGATACCCACATAAGCTCGATTGGTTGTACCTCCAACAGATATTTATTAAGCACCTACTAAATACTGAGCCCACTGCAAGCACCAGGGGAGCCTGTGTGAACAGCACAAAGTTCCTGCTGTGGAGATTCTGCTTCAGTGGTGGAGACAGAAAACAAACAAGTAGGTTCATGAATAAACGAGACACTTTCGGATCTGACATGAGAGTGCTGGCCTGGAGTAGCTGTCACAGAGCATTCCAGGTAGAAGTGAGCAGCACGTGTGCAATGTGCTGACGTGGGCACGAGCTTGGCTGCTGGAGGAACAGAGAGAAGGTCACTGTGCCTGGGAGGGGGAGGTAGGCCGGGAAGGCGGGAGTCAGCTCTTTCTCTCATTCGGTGACTTTCACTAAGCACTTGTGATGTACCAGCACTGTTCGAGGAGAACAGTGTTTTCCCACTGTTCTTGGGAAAGAGAAGTGAAGAGAGCAGATCAGAATCCTTAACTTCATGGAGCTGCATCCTTGTGAACCAATAAATGAGCCAGTAACATTTACATTATGTCAGATGTGACCAAGGTGCTGGAGAAAAAATAAGACAGGAAAGGGAGTGAGGGAGAGAGGGAGGGGAGAATATGCAGTGCGAGCGTGATCAGTGGAGCATCAGGAGGAGTTGGCATTGGAGCCATGACCCGGAGTGAGGTGGGGACGTAAGCCACACTGGGGGACGGCGGGAAGAGCATTCCAGGCCTGGAGGAGGAGTGAAGAGTTTGAATGGGAATGGTACCAGATGGGGTCTGAGAGTAATGGATTGCTGGCCTGTGTGGGGTCTTTGGAGGCCACCGCGAGGGCTCTGGCGTCAGCTCTGAGTGAGATGGGAGCCACGCGAGGTGTTGGGGCAGGGGAATTACATGATCTAAATCACTCTGGCTGCTGTGTTGAGAGCAGATATCTGGGGACCAGGGTGGAAGGATGAGACGGGATCAATAGTTGTAGTTTCATGCTAAATGCAATTGGAAGTCCCTTGGAAGGTTTGGACATGGGAGTGACCTGACACAATGTGTGTGATTAAGAAGATATCTGTGGCTGGCGGACAGGTGGAGAACCGACAGCACTGGCAGCAGGGACAGGGGTCGGAAGCCACTGCAGGGCTGCAGGTGAAGACGGCATGGACTGGGCAGGGCATAGCAGCAGCGGTCGAAGGAAGGGATGGATTTGGGATTTTTTTTTGGTGATCCTGTGGCCGTCAGTATTCTTGGCAAGGTCTCGCCTGTGTATTATAGCTGCTGCCTGGCGTCCACGGGAAACACAGCCCTGCCTCAAGGAAATGAACGTGGACATACTGTACCTAAACCTGGAGCATTTGACACGGAAGCGAATGAAGGAAAAAGAAAACTTAAACACGATAAAAAAAAGAAAAAGAAAAAAGACCGGGTGCGGTGGTTTATGCCTGTAATCCCAGCACTTTGGGAGCCTGAGGCGGGCAGATCATGAGGTCAGGAGTTTGAGACCAGCCTGGCCAACATGGTGAAACCCCGTCTCTACTAAAAATACAAATATTAGCCGGGTGTGGTGGCAGGTGCCTGCAATCCCGGCTACTTGGGAGGCTGAGGCAGGAGGATCGCTTGAACCTGGGAGGCAGAGGTTGTGGTAAGCTGAGATCATGCCATTGCACTTCAGCCTGGGTAACAGAGTGAGACTCTGTCTCAAAAAAAAAAAAAAAAAAAGGCTCTAGCCTTTCTATCTTTAAATTATTGAGTTTCATGATTGAAGGAGAAAATGGAGTTCTTGCCTTAGAAAGGCCAAAACCCTCATAATCCTTTTAAATAAACATTCCACATTTCTGTAATGTAATATACAGTTGGAGAACCCTGTTCACATAACATTGTTCATTCTTTCCTCTCAAAATGCTTTAAGCACACATTATTGAGGGGAGGAGGACTGGGGTGATGTGGTTACAGCAATAAACTATAGAAATCGGATCCAAGCGTGAGCTGTCTGAGGATAGAGTGTTGTGTTGTAGGATAGAAGAAAGGACCTTTTGGTAGTTACCTAATTCGCAGGGTCATGGGAACGTAACTCAGGGGATACTTTTTCCTCTTTCATTTTGGGCAGATTGTTTCTGGTCAGGGTACAAAATGAATGGGTGATCTTAGTGATTTGTTAGTTTTATAATTCATTGTAATGCCAGATTTACCTGGTTGGACAGAGAGACCTTTGAAGGCTGTGAGAACCTTTTAAGGTGAGAGGGGAAAATAAGGGCATTTAAGAGTTTGTGGCCAGTTAGTTATGCTCTTTTTTTTTTCTTTTTTGAGACAGGGTCTCACTCTGTCGCCCAGGCTGGAGTGCAGTGGGGCACCATCACAGCTCACTTCAGCCTCTACCTCCTGGGCTCAAGTGATCTTCCCACCTCAGCCTCCTGAGTAGCCAAGACTACAGGAGTGTACCACTACACCCGGCTAATTTTTGCTTTTTTTTTTTTTTTTCATAGAGAGGGGTTCTTGCCATGTTGCCCTGGCTGGTCTTGAACTCCTGGGCTCAAGCAATCCGTCCGCGTTGGCCTCTTGAATGGCTGGGATTACAGGCGTGAGCCCCCGCGCCTGGCTTGGTTATACTCTTGGTCCTTTGGATCAGGTTCATAAGGGTTGTACAGTTGTTCTGGAGTTGTGGAGTTTTTTCTCTTCTTTCTTTTGAGACTCGGTCTTGTTCTGTCAACCAGGCTGGAGTGCAGTGGCATGATCAAGGACAGCAGCCTCTACCTCCTGGGCTTAGGTGATCCTGTCACCTCAGCCTCCTGAGAAGCTGAGACTACAGGTGTGCACCACCACTCTGGGATCATTTTTGAATTAAAAAAATTGTTTGAATTTTTAATTTTTGTAGAGATGGGGTTTTGCTCTATTGCCCAGGTTGGTCTCAAATGCCTGGGCTCAAGTGATCCTCCTGCCTTAGCCTCCCAAAGTACTGAGATTACTAGCGTAAGCCACCACACCAAGCTGGTCTTTTCTGTTTTAATATTATGTAATATTGTACTCCTAGTCTATGACATGGAAGAATTTACTAATGATGCTTAATAAAAATATCTAACTTTACTGTATTCATTTCAACAAATATTTGCTCAGCATTTGCTATATATGTTTAGTATGCATCCCAAGGCTTTGAGGTTTTTTCTTTTTTTTTTTTGAGACAGGGTCTTACTCTGTCACCCAGGCCGGAGTGCAGTGGTGCAATCTCAGCTCACTGGAACTTCTGCTGGCTCAGACAATCCTCCGAAGTCAGCCTCCTGAGTTGCACGCCACCATGCCCAGCTAATTTTTTTTTTTTTTTTTTTAGAAATGGAGTCTCAATATGTTGCTCAGGCTGGTCTTGAACTCCTGGGCTCAAGTGATCCACCTGGCTTGGCCTCCTAAAGTGCTGGGATTACAGGCGTGAGCCACTGTGCGGGGTCTAGACACAGTAATTTCCAAACCTGCCCAGTAGTCTCAATCACTTGGAGAGGTTTTTTTCATAGAAGGTACTGAATTGGAATCCTCAGTAGTGGGAAGTGTAATTCTGTATCCCAAACCAAAAGCAACTCCTAATGTGCTCTTACTTTAATGAAAACCTGACTCTGTCCTGAAGATGTTGCTCCCTTCACCCCCCTTGATGGGCTGGATCTTTGCCTTACCCACCAGGCCTGGGCCAGGAGATAGGATTGGGTCCTCCTAGCTCCCAGCTACTCATGCTCTGTTGAGACTCTGGATGTGCCATCCTTTCTGTCCCCTGTGGAACGGTGCCTGAGCTTCTGGTGACTGATTCTGTAAGTCTTAGCCTTCCTCTCCACCTAGCTCAGGTCACCCTTCCTGTGGCTTCAGGGCCCACATGCTGCAGTGTCACAGTCTACTCTGGTCTCCAGCAAACTCTCTTGAACCTTGCTTTCCACGACTGCTGCCAGGACCCTCTCCTTACAAGGGTCAAAGTCAAAATAACAATGTGCAGACAAGGCTCTAAATTTAATGTTTTATTTGGGAAGAAAGAATTGCAGTGTCAGTCATCCATACAAGCTGGGTGGTCTTTGGTATGTCTGAAGAACGAAGAGAAGGTTTGAGGTTTTGCTGAAAAAGAAGAAATGTTACATACTCTGCTGGGAGAAGGTTTCTTGGTACTGTCAGGGCTTGGGGAGCTGGCAAGCAATGACTGGTGAGTGAAGGTGGTGGCAAAATTAGTCTTGGAGTTGCAGCAAGTGGTCTCAGAAGCTGGAGATAAAACTGGTTTCAGGCTACAACAAGCAGTTCCAGCAGTTGGGCTTGCAGACAATTACATTCTTGAGCAACGTTTTATACCCTGAGTGCTTTTCCTACCTGGCTACTGTTTTAGTTTGGTAGGACAACAGTGGCCCATTTCGGATGATCAACGGTAACGCGAGTAACCGCACCTCTCCAAGATCTCCAGGCTGTCCAGCTTGGCCTCCCCAGGCCTCCTCCTCACTCCCTTCTCACTGCTGTGGCTGTGCCTCCTGGCATCGTTTCCCTGCTTGGTCCGCTGCGAGCCACTCTAGGACGGACACGTGAGACTCTTTTCCTCTCACCTCTGCATGCACTTGTCTTCTGCTTGCTGCTTTCAGCACCTGAGCAGCTCTGAGTGTTGTGAGCCAAAAACCACATCCGGCTGGCTGGTTTACTTTTCAATTGTCGACCCCATGGCCGGGCACAGTGGTTCGCACCTATAATCCCAGCGCTTTGGAAGGCTGAGGTGGGTGGATCACTTGAGGTCAGGAGTTCAAGACCAACCTGGTCAGCCAACATGGTGAAACCCTGTCGCTACTGAAAATACAAAAATTAGCTGTGCCTGGTAATCCCAGCCACTCAGGAGTGCAGTGGTGTGATCTCGGCTCACTGCAACCTCTGCCTCCCAGGTCCAAGCAATTCTCCTGCCCCAGCCTCCCAAGTAGCTGGGATTACGGGCACCTACCACCACTCCTGGCTTATTTATTTATTTATTTATTTATTTATTTTGAGTCAGAGTCTCTCTCTGTTGTTCAGACTGGAGTGCAATGGCGCGATCTTGGCCCACCGCAACCTCCACCTCCCGTGTTCAAGCAATTCTCCTGCCTCAGCCTCCCAAGTAGCTGGGATTACAGGCACCCACCACCGCGCCTGGCTAATTTTTATATTTTTTTTAAGTAGAGATGGGGTTTCACCATATTGGCCAGGCTGGTCTCTTGGCCAGGCAGGTGTTGAACTCCTGACCTCGCGATCCACCTGCCTTGGCCTCCCAAAGTGCTGAGATTACAGGCCACTGCGCCTGGCTAATTTTTTTTTTTTTTGAGACGGAGTCTCACTCTCACCTCGGCTGGAATGCAGTGGCTCGATCTCTGCTCACTGCATCCTCCACCTCCTGGGTTCAAGCAATTCTCCTGCCCAAGCCTCCCAAGTAGCTGGGATTACAGGGCCTGCCACTACGCCAGCTCATTTATTGTATTTTTAGTAGAGACAGGGTTTCACCATGTTGGTCAGGCTGGTCTCGAACTCCTGACCTCGTGATTCGCCTGCCTCAGCCTCCCAAAGTGCTGGGATTACAGGCATGAGCCACTGCGCCTGGCCAATTTTTGTATTTTTAGTAGAGACGGGGTTTCACCATGTTGGCCAGGCTGGTTTTGAACTCCTGACCTCAAGTGATCCACCGGCCTCGGCCTTCCAAAGTGCTGAGATTACAGGAGTGAGCTACCGCGCCTGACTCCCCAGCTAATTTTTGTATTTTTAGTAGAGACGGGGTTTTGCCATATTGGCCAGGCTGGTCTCGAACTCCTGTCCTCAAGTGATCCACCTGCCTCGGCCTGTCAGAGTGCTGCGATTACAGGTGTGAACCACCACACCCAGCCAGAATCAGAAGACTCTTGAAGGAGTTCTCTTCTCATGATCTTTACTTCCTCATGTTCACATCTACAAGAACACAGTTAAAACATTGGGGATACAGAAATGAGCAAAGAAGACAATAATAATTCCCACTACCTAGAATCAATACCTTTTTTTTTTTTTGAGATGGAGCTTTGCTTTTGTTTCCCAGGCTGGAGTACAATGGCATGATCTTGGCTCACAGCAACCTCCGCCTTCTGGGTTCAAGCAATTCTCTTGCCTCAGCCTCCTGAGTAGCTGGGATCACAGGCATGCGCCACCACGGCCAGCTAATTTTTGTATTTTTAGTAGAGATGGGGTTTCATCATGTTGGCCAGTCTGGTCTCAAACTCTTGATCTCAGGTGATCCACCTGCCTTGGCCTCCCAAAGTGCTAGGATTATAGGCGTGAGCCACTGTGCCCGGCTGACAGTACCTTTTTTAAGAAAAGTTATTCTGTTGTGATTATTATAAAGAATTCAGGTGGGCAGACTGAGGTCAGGAGTTTGAGACCAGCCTGGCCAACATGGCGAAAACACATTGCTACTAAAAATACAAAAATTAGCCGGGCATGGTGGTGGGCGCCTGTAATCCCAGCTACTTGGGAGGCTGAGGCAGGAGAATTGCTTGAACCTGGCAGGCAGAGGTTGCAGTGAGCTGAGATTGAGCCACTGCGCTCCAGCCTGGGTAACAGAGTGAGATTCCATCTCTAAAAAAAAGAGAATTCAAACAAAATAGAAATATTAGAGTGAAATTTTTAAAAAATTTACTATAATGAACATGAGGCAACAATTTCAGAAATCTTTTTGGATGGATGGATATAGATAAATAGGTGAAGACACAGTAACATAAATGAATCACTTTTTTTTTTTTTTTTTTTTTTGAGACGGAGTCTCACTCTGTCGCCCAGGCTGGAGTGCAGTGGCACGATCTCAGCTCACTGCAAACTCCGTCTCCCAGGTTCCCGCCATTCTTCTGCCTCAGCCTCCCAAGTAGCTGGGACTACAGGTACCCGCCACCACGCCCGGCTAATTTTTGTATTTTTAGTAGAGATGGGGTTTCACCGTGTTGGCGAGATGGTCTTGATCTCTTGACCTCGTGATCCGTCCACCTTGGCCTCCCAAAGTGCTGGGATTACAGGTGTGAGCTGTCGCGCCCAGGCGAGAGGCTCCAGTTTTTAAAGAAAAAAAGGACATATCAAGGGTGGGGTGATTACAAAAGTGATTTGTCAGGAATTCTCATTCGTTCGCAGAAATATCATTGGTTAGTGATTGGTTACACGTTGTTGAACTCTAGGGTGTGTGGCATTTTATGGCTATTTGGTATCGGTCTAGCGCCCACATAGCAAGTGGCTTTAAGAGGTAATTATTGAGCCAGGGGTGGTGGCTCTTGCCTGTAATTTCAGCACTTGGGAGGCCGAGGCGGGTGGATCACCTGAGGTCACAAGTTCAAGACCAGCTTGGTCAACATGGTGAAACCCCATCTCTACTAAATATACAAAAATTAGCCGGGCCTGGTTGTGGGTGCCTGTCATCCCAGCTATTCGGAAGGCTGAGGCAGGAGCATCACTTGAACCCAGGAGGCAGAAGTTGCAGTAAACCGAGATCGTGCTATTGCACTCCAGGCTGAGCAAGAGCGAAACTCCGTCTGAAAAAAAAAGAGAAAACAGCTCGGGCGCGGTGGCTCACGCCTGTAATCCCAGCACTTTGGGAGGCCGAGGTGGGCAGATCACGAGGTCAAGAGTTCGAGACCAGCCTGGCTAACATGGTGAAACCCCATTTCTACTAAAAATACAAAAAATTAGCTGGGTGTAGTGGCAGGCGCCTGTAATCCCAGCTACTCAGGAGGCTGAGGCAGGAGAATTGCTTGAACCCGGGAGGTGGAGGTTGCAGTGAGCTGAGATTGCGCCACTGTACTCCAACCTGAGTGACAGAGTGAGACTCCTTCTCAAAAAAAAAAAAAAGAGGTAATTATTTAGCTCAAACAGTAGTGACATGGCTGCTGTTACATTCCAGGGCCTCTCTGGGCCTGATAATTCCTTAGATAAAACGTTTCTTCTTTTCCCCCATAATCCCAGTTGTCCCAAAGACGTTTTTTATGGTTTTATGATCCGATCAAGTCTCATGCAATACATACAGGTTTGTTTTTTTAGTTTCTTTTAATGTAGAAAATTTCCCTATCCCACTCCTCGTGATAGTGACTTTTTGAAAATCCTGGACCAGTTGTTTTGTAAAATGTCCCACATTTTGGATTGTCCAGTTTACCTTTGAAGTCTCAATGAACTTATCTTCCTCTATTTTCTAACTGGAAGTCAGATCTAAAGACTTTATTTCATTTGGTTTAAACATTTTTGGCAAGAGTACTTGATATAGCTACCCTGGGAACTTCATCTTGCACCGTTATCAGGAGTGGCCGCAGCATGGGTCATGCTGGCTGCACTTGCACAGTTTTATTTAGATGGGGATTGCCGTAGCATGCGTGTATGAAATTTAGTTTTAACTGAACTGAATGGAGAAAAGAGAAGTAGAAGTTCAACTGAAAGAATTATTGACTTTCAAATATGTTTCTTCACTACAAGGATTAATATGTCTTAAAAGATCCCTCTAAATGTAAGAGGTGTAGGATCAATAAAAAATATTAAAAAGCTAAAGTCATTGAGTTTCTTTTAGATCCAGTGTTTCAAATTTTTTTTTTTTTTTTAAGACAGCGTCTTGCTCTGTCACCCAGGCTGGAGTGCCGTGGCATGATCTCAGGTCACTGCAGCCTCTGCCTCCCAGGTTCAAGTGATTCTCCTTCCTCAGTCTCCCGAGTAACTGGGATTACAGGTGTGTGCCACCGCATCTGGCTAATTTTTGTATTTTTTGGTAGAGATGGGGTTTCACCATGTTGTCCAGGCTGGTCTCAAACTCCTGACCTCAGGTGATCCACCCGCCTTGGCCTCCCAAAGTGCTGGGATTAGAGGCGTGAGCCACCGCATCTGGCCTATTGAGTAGTTTAATAACTCAGTAAGGTGGTTCAACTTATAGAATAGAATTCAATATAAAGTTATGGAATCTAGTCTTCTAAATTCCAGGCCTAGTAACTAGCCCTGTATGGTGGTGGTTGTCTGTCTCCCAGATCGATTTATCATTTACGGTTGTTTTCGTCTGTGTGCACTACGATCGCCTCAGGTGTCGGTAACTGCAATTGCAGCAGTCGCCTTGTAGCTCCTGGTTGTTTTAAACGTATTTCCTTATGTGGCAGTTAGGTTGTTTGGTCTTAGTTGGTTTCCTTAGGTCTGCAATGCTTTCTTTTAATCTCCTTTGACTGTCATATCAATTCAACGTTGAGCTTTTGTTTTATTGGTTTTATTTTTTCTGAGATGTTCTATGGCCTGAAGCAATTAGCAAGACTTCCTTCTCTTCCATGCCTTAAATGTTCTTCTAGGCTGGGCTCTTTGATTTATCTTCGGTGAGCCTTTTTGTTGTTGTTTTACTGTTTGTTTATTTTTTTCAATTTATTTATTTTTTTGGAGACAGAGCCTTGCTCTGTCGCCCAGGCTGGAGGGCAGTGGCACAATCTCGGCTCACTGCAACCTCTGCCTCCTGGGTTCAAGTGATTCTCATGCCTCAGCCTTCCGAGTAGTTGGGATTACAGGTGCCCGCCACCACGCCCGGCTAATTTTTTGTTTTTTAGTAGAGATAGGGTTTCACCATGTTGACGAGGCTGGTCTCGAACTCCTCACCTCAGGTGATCTTGCCTCGGCCTCCCAAAGTGTTGAGATTATAGGCATGAGCCACCGCTCCCAGCCAGGTGACCCTTTTTGTTGTTGTTTTACTGTTTGTTTATATTGTTGCCTTGTGATTTTGCTTCATGTTACTGGTTGTATTCTCAGAGGCGTAGGAAGTATGTTGGGAAGTGATGCTAGGAGGCAGAATCAGGCAGAGGGAGAAGTCGGGCTTTGAGGCAGTCACAGCAAAGGCCTCATCCCAGGGGCTCTTGAGTGGTACTGGCTCTGTAGAGCTGTCCTGAATTGGGGCAGGGGTGTAGCTGTTATACTCCTGCAGAGACCAACAGTTAAAATGCAGGCCATGCTCAGGGAGTGGACATGCTACTATCAGGCAGCTTTCTGCAGCAGAGGACCCAGCTGTGGAATGGTTGCTTCCGTGTGGAAGGGAGTATATGGGTGGCATGACCCAGCACTGACTAGAATTAATTTTATTTGCATGGTGGTACTGTCCAGCCATTCATTCTGTTTTCTCTGATAAGGTAGGTTTGTTCTTTATTCTCTTCTTAGCCTGTCTGAGATAGGTGAGTTTCCCTTCTGACATACAGATGGAGGGCTGAGTTTTGTGGGGTATTCCAGCTTTGTGAGTAGCCTGAGAAATGACTGGGAGCCAGTGAAGGGTTGAGCCAGTGCAGGTGCGGTCCTGCCTTGTTAAATATGATGTGAGGTAGGGGTCAGGAGTCTGCATGCAAATCACCCAGTGCCGTTTGCTAAAAGATTGTCTTTTCCCCACTGCTCTGCAGCGTCATCTATGTCATAAATTGTCATAAATCAGGTGTCTGTACATGCGTGTCCCTGTCTTGACCTGTGTTCTTTTCCATTGTCCCATTGGTTTATCTTTGTGTAAATACCACACAGTCTCATTTATTGTAATTTGAAAATGAATCCTGACATCCATTAGAGTCATTCCTCTGACTTTGTTTATCTTCAGGATTGTCTTGGGTGATATGTTTGTGATCTTTGCCTTTCTTTTCATTCAGCTTTAGGATCAGATTGTCAGTTTCCACAGAATATCTGCTGATATTTCTGCTGAGATTGCACTGATTCTATAAATAAGTTCGGGGATAATGGACCTCACTACAATATTGAGTTTCCAACCCATGACCTTTATTTAGATCTTTAATTTTGAGAATATTGGTGTATACTTTTTTATACAGATGCCTTTCTTGCAAATCTTTGATTAGATTTGTTCCTGGGCATATTATCCTTTAAAACTAATATAATGAATCACTATGTAGCCCTTACCCAGTGTCCACAACCTTGCTGCATTAGTATCCCTCTCCCAGTCACTCCACCATCGCCCCCCAGAGTATTTTGAAGTAAATTAAAAATATATCATGTTTAGCTGGGCACAGTGGCTCCTGCCTACAATCCCAGCCTGTTGGGAGGCCGAGGCGGGCAGATCATTTGAGTTCAAGAGTTTGAGACCAGCCTGGCCAACATGGTGAAACTCTGTTTCTACTAAAAATTACAAAAATTAACCAGGCGTGGTGGTGCACGCCTATAGTCCCAGCTACTCGGGAGGCTGAGGCAGGAGAATCGCTTGAACCCGGGAGGCGGAGGTTGCAGTGAGCTGAGACCGTGCCACTGCACTCCGGCCTGGGTGACAGAGTGAGACTCCATCTCTCTCTCTCTCTTTCTCTCTATATATATATATATGTATATACACACACACTGATATACATATATAGAGAGAGAGACAGAGAGATGGAGCATAATATATATATATATTATATATATGCGTATGTATGTAATGTTTAGCTGGGTGTGGTGGCATGCCTCTGTGGTCCCAGCTACTAGGGAGGCGGAGGTGGAAGGATGGCTTGAGCCACCACACCACTGCACTCCAGCCTGGGTGGCAGGAAGCTGAGGTGGGAGCATCTTCTGAGCCCAGAAGGTTGAGACTCCAATGAGTCATGTTTACACCACTGCATTCCAGCCTGGGCAACAGAGCAAGACACTGTCTTAAAAAGAAAAAAAAAAAGAATTAAATGAAAAGTGAACCATTTGATACATTTTCATTTTCTCAGAGTTTTTAATAACTTGTCGTTATTTATTATGTACTATCTTCAGATTTTTATATTTGCTCAACTGATTCATTGTTCTTCTTTGTAGTTTCCCATCACCAATTTTCCTTGGAATTGGACAGGTGAGTGAAAAAAAATAGAATTAACCTCTTATTTTGTCATCAGTGTTCATAATGACATTTTAAGTCCTTTTGTTTAAAGCTGTGGTTGCAAATTTATTCAGCTGGCAGAGGACCAGAGGGTCATGGTACTCCTGGTGAGACAACAGGACATATTGACACTTTATTTCAGTCTACAATTTAAGAACAATTGTATTTATGGGAAAAACAGCTTCTTATTTTAAGTTCCTTAACTGAATTTAATTACTGTAAAGCAGGGGGCTACGAGGCTCAGAGCCTCCAAGGCCTGGCGGGTAACACATGAGTTGATGAGGACTGGGTGGGAGAGAATGCTTGTCCCACTTAAAGTGTCAGCTTGATACTCAGTTTAAGCCATTGTGCCTGATAGGAAAAGGGTTGGGAGGTGGGACCCACCATGCTGCCCTTATTATTAGCATCAGAAGGTTTTCAAGAGAAAGAGAGTTTGAATTTTTTTTTTTTTTTGAGACGGAGTTTTGCTCTTGTCGCCCAGGTTGGAGTGCAATGGCACTATGTCGATTCACCGTGACCTCTGCCTCCCAGGTTCAAGAAATTCTTCCAGCTCAGCCTCCCAAGTAGCTGGGATTACAGGCAGCTGCCACCACGGCCAGCTATTTTTGTATTTTCAGTAGAGATGGGTTTTTGCCATGTTGGTCAGGCTGGTCTCGAACTCCTGACTCAAGCGATCCGCCCGCCTTGGCCTCCCAAAATGCTGGGATTACAGGTGTGAGCCGCCGCGCTTGGCTGAGAGTTTGAGTTTTTACATAAAGTCTTCAAACTTGTACATGCTGGCAACAGATTCAAATTTTTACAAAACTCCCTATGTGCTAAATAAAACATGTTTGCAGTTTGCTTCCTGGAGTTTGTGATTTTTGCTCTGAAGTACATGGATGAGCTTGGGTAAACCTGTTCAAACTATGCCCATTTGGCAGTTTCTGAAATTTCCCATTTATGTTAATTTGTGACTGTTTATTCTTGTGGTTATATACTGGTGATTTCCAGATAAATAGTAACAGACCACAATGTTTTTTGTTTGTTTTGATTTTGATTTAATTCATAGAGGGAAAAGCTTAACATTATGAAAATAGTATCTGTTAACTAAATTTTTAATTGTGAATCTGGGTAAACATTCTTCTTTTTTTTTTTTTTGAGACTGAGTCTCACCCTGTCACCCAGGCTGGAGTGCAATGGCGCGATCTCGACTCACTGTAACCTCTGCCTCCCGGGTTCAAGTGATTCTCCTGCCCCAGCCTCCCAAGTAGCTGGGATTACAGGTGCACACCACCATGCCCAGCTAATTTTTTGTATCTTTAATAGAGACGGGGTTTTACTATGTTGTCCATGTTGATCTCGAACTCCTGACCTCGTGATCCACACACCTCGGCCTCCCAAGGTGCTAGGATTACAGGCATGAGCCACTGCGCCTGGCCAAATAAACATTATTCTGATTAAATGTCTTGCTAATAAATACCTCTTTGCAACATCATTTTAGGGAGAAGCAATTATAACAAGAATTTTCTTAGAGTAAAAAAATTATCTTTATATTTCAGTGTAAAAATATTAGAAAAAAGCATGTTAAAAAAAAAAAAAAAAAGATCAGGCCAGGCATGGTAGCTCATGCCTATAATCCTAGCACCTTGGGAGGCCGAGGTGGGTGGATCACTTGAAGTCAATAGTTTGAGACCAGCCTGGACAACATGGTGAAACTCAGTCTCTACTAAAAATAAAAAAAATAGCCGGAAATTGCTTGAACATTCACCGGGAGGCAGAGGTTGCAGTGAGCCAAGATTGCACCACTTCACTCCAGCCTGGGTGACAAGCAAGACTCTGTCTCAAAAAAAAAAAAAAAAAATCAGTGATAGGGTGCCCTTTGTAGTCTCTAAGTGAAATAAATTACTCTTTAACCCAGTGGCTTATACCCAAAGGTAAAGCCTTTCTGATTTGCAATTTGTTGAGGTAAGAGGCCAGTTAGACCTAATTTTAAAAGTCCGAATTACATTTATTTTAAGTAAGTGTTGGTATATTTATTTTATTATTATTATTTTTTTCCTTCTTTCTTTTTTTTTTTTTTTTGACAGTGTCTGGCTATGTTGCCCAGGCTGGAGTGCAGTGGTGTGATCTTGGTTCACTGTACCCTTCACTTCCTGGGCTCAAGTGATCCTCCTGCCTCAGCCTTTCAAGTAGCTGGGCTACAGGCATGCACCACCACACTGACTAATTTGTGTATTTTTTGTAGTGATAGGGTTTCACCATGATGCCCAGGCTGGTCTTGAACTTCTGGGCTCAAGCGGTCTGCCCACCTTGGCCTCCAAAGTGTTGGGATTATGGGCGTGAGCCACTGCGCCTGGCCAATGTTATTGTATTTCTTTAAAAATTATAAAGCGAGGCATAAGTACAAAGTACAGTTATAATTCAGGGTGGGCTTAATTACATAAATATATGATAAGTATAAAGTTTGTAAACTCAGGAGCAAGGTATAGGATTATAATCATGTTGAAGGAGTCTTAAATTTTTGCATCCTAATATGGAGAGAATTGAGTAAGTTCTACAACTTGCATGAAAGATGATGTTAAACTTTTATTTCATAATAATGATATGGAGTATTTCCAATATACCTAGGGCACTCCAGATTAAGAGGATTTGATGAGACATTTTTGCTATGCCAGCTGGATTGAAAAGTAAATCTGTCTTTAAACTTTTTTCCCTCTTTGTTGGTCTTCTGTCTTATGGAAATAATGGACTTGTTAAAAAATATGCCTAGGAGTAGAGTTTCTTTTAAAAGGATGTTCTCGTGCCTTTATGGGGGAAGGTGACCGTATGTTTAGTATGTGGGAAATATGGTCCAGGATCAATGTGTCACCTCACTGACTGTGATCGCTTTTGCACATTTGTCACTGTCAGGGAGACCATTCCCTTTCTCGCTCTCCCACAGTTCCATTCCTAGAGCCCTTTGAGATAATGTGTGTGTGTATGTGTAAGTGTATTGGAGATTATACTTTTTTTTTTTTTGAGAGAGAGTCTTGCTCTGTCTCCCAGGCTGGAGTGCAGTGGCATGATCATGGCTCACTGCAGCCTTGACTTTCCAGGCTCAGGTGATCCTCCCACCTCAGTATCCTGAATAGCTGGGACCACAGATCACCAAGACTGGCTAATTTTTTGTATTTTTTTGTAGAGATGGGTTTTCACCATGTTGCTTAGGCTGGTCTTGAACTCCTAGGCTCAGGTGATCTTCCTGTCTCGGCTTCCCAAAGTGCTGGGATTACAGGCATGAGCCATGGCACCCAACCGATATTACCTTTTTTTTTTTTTTTTTTTTTTTGAGACAGTGGTGTGATCTTGGCTCACTGCAACCTCGGCCTCTCAGGTTCAAGCGATTCTCCTGCTTCAGCCTCCTGAGTAGCTGAGTAACCATTCTGCGTCTGCCAGCATGCCCAGCTAATTTTTGTTTTTTAGTAAAGACAGGGTTTCATCATGTTGGCCAGGCTGGTCTTGAACTCCTGACCTCAAGTAATCCACCCATCTTGGCCTCCCAAAGTGCTGGGATTATAGCTGTGAGCCACCGTGCCCTGCCCAACATTACGTTTTTTGCCTAGAGTTCTGATGGAATCTGTACTGTGGCAAGAAAAACAATTTTAATATTCTAAGAAATAGTTATTTTTTTCTGGAACCTAGAAAATGAATTTTTTGCTGTATTTCTTTTTGATGAATGTGTTTTCTTCTGATGAGGTCATTGCACCTCAATCAATCTTTGCAGATATTTTGCTGAAGTTTCTCTCTCCCCTTTTCTCTTTTCTTCAGATGGCAGCCACCATAATGATACTATATGTGTCCAAGCTAAACAAAATAATTCACTTCCCTGATTTTGATAAGAAAATTCCTGTAAAGGTATGTAATGAAAAGTATATGTGACTGTGATAGAAGATGTGAAAATACACATTGATTTTAGAGTACAGGTCCATTTCTATACACACTGTACTTCCTGCCTGCGCTGGATATAAACTTCTTTTTTTGTTTGAGATGGACTCTCGCTCTGTCGCCCAGGCTGGAGTGCAATGGTGCGATCTTGGCTCACTGGAATCTCCGCCTCCTGGGTTCAAGTGATTCTTGTGCCTCAGCCTCCTGAGTAGGTGGGATTACAGGTGCCTGCCACCATGCCCAGCTAATTTTTTTGTGTGTGTGTATTTTTAGTAGAGATGGGGTTTCACCATGTTGGTCAGGCTGGTCTCAAACTCCTGACCTCAAGTGATCCACCCACCTTGGCCTCCCAAAGTGCTCGGATTACAGGTGTGAGCCACTGTGCCTGGTCAAGAAACTTTTTAGTGAAGATTGTATATCGCTTAGTTGTCCATTTATGTAATGCATATAGTAGTAAAAGTATGTGCTTAACAACTGACATCAAATCAATGAATATTGTATGTCTTCTGAAGTGAGAGAACTCTAAATTAGGGATTGGCAAACTTTTTGGTAAAGGGTCAGACCATCTCTTGTAATTATTCACCTCTGCCACTGTACCATGAAAGTAGCCCTTGATGACATTGAAATGGGTTGTGTTCATGTGTTCCAATAAAACTTTATTTACATAAATAAGAGCTGGGCTGGATTTGGGCCCTCGTTTACTGATTTCTGTTTTCGTTTTATCCTGGCCTGACAAAAGCTGTGAGTGGAATTAAGAATGCAATTTGATATACATAGAAATATGCAGTTTTTTCCATCCTGGAACTAGAAACAGAAAATCTGCCATTACTTCCTGGACTGTGGAACGGAACTAACATTTGTTGAACAGTTGCTGGGTTCCAGACATTAGGTCAGGCATTTTAATTCTTAGACCAGTCCCATACAACAGGTGGTATTAAATGGATTATGACAGCATTTAGGTTTAAATCAGACTGTCAGTTCCCTGAGGGTGAGGACCTTATGTGGCTGGTTTGCTGCCTTTCTCTAATGCTTGGAAAAATGCCAGCATCTAGCCCTGGATTATTTATCAGACAGACTAAAGAAGCACATGCTTACAGCATCAGTAATCAGGGGATCCCAGTGTGGTGGCTCACGCCTATAATCCCAGCAACTTGGGAGATCAAGGCAGGAGGATTGCCTGAGGCCAGGAGTTGGAGGTCAGTGTGGGGAACATAGTAAGACGTTGTCTCAAAAAAAAAAAAAAAAAACAAAACAGGTGCGGTGGCTCATGCCTGTAACCCCAGCACTTGGGAGACTGAGGCAGGCGGATCACGAGGTCAAGAGATTGAGACCAGCTTGGCCAACATGGTGAAACCCCGTCTCTAATAAAAATAAAAAAAAATTAACTGGGCATGGTGGCACACACCTGTAGTCCCAGCTACTCAGGAGGCTGAGGCAGGAGAATCGCTTGAACCTGGGAGGCAGAGGTTGCAGTAAGCCAAGGTCATGCCACTGCACTCCAGCCTGGGCAACAGAGTAAGGCCTCATCTAAAAAAAAAAAAAAAAAAAAAATTCAGGGACATCCAGAAAAAGAGAAAAATAAAAGGTTGAAGTATATGAAAGCTGTCAACCTAATCATCATGAGAAAAACCAGAATATTACTGGGCTTACTTACTCTTATTTTATCTTATAGTATAATTTTAAAACATTTTAAAATGGTAAAATCTATACATAGAGAAAAAGGCATCCTATTTGAATGTGTAATTGAATGACTAATTATCCTTGTAAACCATTACTTAGGTCATGAAATGGGATCACAAAGTCTTCCTTACCCACTATCCTAACTTTTCTAACAATAATTTTCTTGCTTTCTTTGTAGTTTTTCTAAATCTGGATGCATCCCTAAATTCTTTTTTTTTGAGACGGAGTTTTGCTCTTGTTGCCCAGGTTGGAGTGCAACTCAGCTCACTGCAACCTCCAACTCCCAGGTTCAAGCGATTCTCCTGCCTCAGCCTCCTGAGTAGCTGGGATTATAGGCATGTACTACCATGCCCCACTAATTTTGTATTTTTAGTAGAGATGGGGTTTCTCCATGTTGGTCAGGCTGGTCACGAACTCCCAACCTCAGGTGATCCGCCCACATTAGCCTCCCAGAGTGCTGGGATTACAGGCTTGAGTCACCGCACCCAGCCACATCCCTAAATTCTATAGTCTCGTTTTACCTGCTTTTGAACTTGAGATAAAGGGGATCTAACTCTATGTTCTTTTGTATCTGGCTTCTTTCACTTAATATTATGATAGTGAAATTCATCCGTGTTGTGTGTGGCTGTATTCTTTTATTTTCATCGTATGAATATATCACAATTTACTTATCTGTTCTATTATTCATGGTAATTTGGATATTTCCAGTTTGGGGGCTAGAAAAATAAAAAGTACCACCCTGAACATACTTAAAAGTTGGACCCTGGCATCCATGTGTTAGCTGGGGCTGCCATAACAAAATACCCCTGGCCAGGTGGCTTCAACAACAGAAATGGATGTCCTCGCAGTTCTGGAGGCTGGAAGTCCAGGACCTAGGTGCTGGCAGGGTTGACTTCCGGTGAGGCTTTGCTTCCTGGCTTACAGACAGCCACCTTCTCACTGTGCCCTCAATGGTCTTTCCTCCGTGTGTGCACTCCTGGTATCTCTTCCACTTCTTTTTCTTTCTGTTTTTATTTTCATTTTTATTATTATTTTGAGACAGGGTCTAGCTCTGTCACCCAGGCTAGAGTGCAGTGGTATATCCACAGCTCACTGCAACCTCAAACTCGTGGGCCCAAGTGATCCTCCTGCCTCAGCCTCCCAAGTAGCTGGGACTACAAGCATTTGTTACCATGCCTTGCTAATTAAATTTTTTTTTGGCCGGGCGCGGTGGCTCAAGCCTGTAATCCCAGCACTTTGGGAGGCCGAGGCGGGTGGATCACGAGGTCAGGAGATCGAGACTATCCTGGTTAACATGGTGAAACCCCGTCTCTACTAAAAATACAAAAAACTAGCCGGGCGTGGTGGCGGGCGCCTGTAGTCTCAGCTATTTGGGAGGCTGAGGCGGCAGAATGGTGTGAACCCAGGAGGTGGAGGTTGCAGTGAGCCGAGATCACGCCACTGCACTCCAGCTTGGGAGACACAGTGAGACTCCGTCTCAAAAAAAAAAAAAAAAAAAAAAAAAAATAAATAAATAAATAAATTTTTTTTTTTGTAGAGACAAGGTCTCACTATGTTGCCAGGGCTGGTGTTGAACTCCTGGGCTTAAGCTGTCTTCCTCTGTCGGCCTCCCAGAGTGTTACAATTACAGGTGTGAGCCACCGTGCCTGGCCTCTTCTCTTCATATAGGGACACCAGTCTTGTTGGGCTAGGGCTCTACCACTATGCCCTCATGTAACCTGACTTCCCTTGGTTAAGACCTCATCTCCAAATACAGTCACATTGGGGATTAAGGCTTCAACATGTGAATGTGGGGAAAAACAAGATTCAGTTCATAACAGTGCCTATGAGTGAGGAATGTGTCTATCAGGGAGTGGAACTGCTGGCCCTGGGGCATGCATATCTTCAGCTTCAATCTGTAAAGTTGAACAGTTCTTCTTGGTGGCTGTACCAGTTCACCTTCTGACAAGTGTGCATGAAAGTCCCTGTTGCTTCACATTCTTGGTATGTGAGTCATATTACATTTTGCTAATCTGGGTTGGGTGAGGTGGCTCACACCTGTAATCCCAGCACTTTGGGAGGCTGAGGCAGGCAGATCACCTGAGACCAGGAGTTCAAGACCATCCTGGCCACCATGGCAAAACCCCATCTCTACTAAAAATACAAAAAATTAGCCGGGCATGGTGGCGGGTGCCTGTAACCCCAGCTTGGGATTACAGGAGACCCAGGAGACTGAGGCAGGAGAATTGCTTGAACCTGGGAGGCGGAGGTTGCAGTGAGCCAAGATCATACCATTGCATTCCAGCCTGGACAATAAGAGCAAAACTCTGTCTCAAAAATAAATAAATGCATCAATAAATAAATTTTACTAATCTGGTGGGTGTGTTGTGACATCTTATGGGCTTTAATTTGCATTTCCCTGATGACCAGTGGGGAGAAGCCTCTTTTCTTTTTCTTTTTTTTTTTGAGATGAAGTCTTGCTCTATCGCCCAAGCTGGAGTGCAGTGGCGCGATTTTGGCTCACTGCAACCTCTGCCTCCCGGGTTCAAGCAATTCTCCTGCCTCAGCCTCCTGAGTAGCTGGGACTACAGACGTGTGCCACCACCCCCAGCTAATTTTTGTATTTTTAGTAGAGATGGGGTTTCGCTATGTTGGTCAGGCTGGTCTCAAACTCCTGACCTTGTGATCCACCTGCCTTGGCCTCCCAAAGTGCTGGGATTATAGGCGTGAGCCACCATGCCGTACCAAAATCATTTTTTAAATGTCTGTTTCAATATCCTCTCTGGCGAAGTATCTGTCACCATTTTTATATGTGAAGGAAAATGCTTATTGGAGTTCTAACCAAATATTCATTCTTTTTTTTTTATTGAAGCTGTTTCCTCTGCCTCTCCTCTACGTTGGAAACCACATAAGTGGATTATCAAGCACAAGTAAATTAAGGTAGAGTGTGGGATAATGGCTAGTTCCTCACCTCTGTGCTGCCAATGTTACAAAGACTAAGTTTGATTTTGCCATTGATAGTGCTTCTACTATATATAGAAGACAATAATATTCAGTAATTTAAGAAAGTAAGGTGGAGTTTTGAGTTTAATTGGCCAATGATTTTAGGAATGTTAAAAAGCTTATTTTTTTAAATTATTTTCAAGCCTGAACATAGAATATGAGAGCTGTAGACATTAAGGTAGAGAAGGTCTGATTCATCCAGGTACGACTGTTGGTATGAATATGATTTTGTGTGACTTTTGGTTTCGTCTCCGTTTTATAAGAGCAGGAACATCTCCTCAGGCTTGGGGTAGACCAGGTTTGGTGCAGGGAAGAATAAATGACAGACATTTTCAAGTGTGTGCTGTATACATTTGAAATTTGCATCTGCATTTATTTCAGGGTCTTTTTTTTTTTTTTTTGAGATGGAGTCTCACTCTGTCACCCAGGTTGGAGTGCAGTGGCATTATCTTGACTCACGGCAGCCTCCACCTTCCGAGTTCAAGTGATTCTCTAGCCTCAGCCTCCCAAGTAGCTGGGATTACAGGCATGCGCCAACACGCCTGGCTAAGTTTTGTACTTTTAGTAGAGATGGAGTTTCACCATGTTGGCCAGGCTAGTCTTGAACTCCTGACCTCACGTGATCCATCTGCCTCGGCCTCCCAAAGTGCTGGGATTACAGGTCTGAGCCACTGTGCCCGGCCTATTTCAGGGTCTTTTGATTATGGGGCACATAATACCTTATCCTTCTTGGAATGCTATTAAATGGATCAATTTCACTGTTAATGATTTTAAGGGTTTGATATCTTTTTTGAGACGGAGTCTTGCTCAGTCACCCAGGCTGGAGTGTAGTGGTGCGATCTTGGCTCACTGCAACCTCTACCTCTTGGGTTCAAGCGATTCTCCTGCCTCAGCCTCCCAAGTAGCTGGGATTCCACGCCTGCCACCATGCCCAGCTAATTTTTGTATTTTTAGTAAAGACAGAGTTTTACCGTGTTGGCCAGGCTAGTCTTGAACTCCTGACCTCAAGTAATCCGCCCGTCTCGGCCTCCCAAAGTGCTTGACTTACAGGCATGAGCCACCACGCCCGGCCTAAACTTTTTCAATAAGGACAGGTTTTCACCACTTCATATAGGAAAAGCAGGATAAAAGCTTCCTTCCTTTATTAGTGCTCAGACTAATAAATTAGTGTCCCGACACCTTCAATGGTGACCAGGGAGGGTTGTTTTCTGTTTGTTTGTTGTTGTTTTTTCCTATCATGGATTCATGCTTTTTCATTTACTTGATACAAGTCCTTTATCAAATATGTGTTTTGCAAATATTTTTTTCCTAGTTTGTGGCTTATCTTTTTATTTTCTTAACACTGTCTTTCACAGAGCAGAAGTTTTTAATTTTAATGAAGTTCACAATCATTTTTTTTTCATGGATTATACTTCTGGTTTTGAATTTGAAACCCATCATCAAACCAAGATCATCCAAATTTTGTGTGCTATCTTCCAGAATTTTTGTAGTTTACGTTTTACATTTAGGTCTCTACAAATTTGCCTGCTCTAGACATCTCACACAAGTAGAATCGTACAGTATTTTTGCCTTTTTTGACTGGCTTATTCACTTACATCATATTTTCAGGGTTTATCCATGTTATATTAGGTGTCAGATTTTAATTCCTTTTTCAAGCTGATTAATATTCCATTGCAGGTATATATATAATATATATATTATATATGTGTGTATATATATGCATATATATGTGTATATATGTGTATATATATGTGTGTGTATATATATAACATTTTGTTTATCCATTTATAAAAATATTATTTATTTATTTTTTTGAGACAGGGTCTCGCTTTATTACCCAGGCTGGATTGCAGTGGTGCAATCACAGCTCACTGCAGCCTCACCCTGCTGGGCTCAGGTGATTCTCCTGTCTTGGTCTCCTGAGTTGCTGGGGCTACAGGTGTGCACCACCACGCCTGGCTTATTTTTATATTTTTTGTAGAGACTAGGTCTTACCATGTTGCCCAGGCTGATCTTGAACTCCTGAACTCAAGCAATCTGCCTGCTCCGGCCTCCCAAAGTGTTGGGATTACAGGAATGAGCCACTGTGCCCAGCCTGTAAAAGTTTTTAATTTTGATGAATTCCAGTTTTTCTATTTTTTCCTTTCGTTGCTTGTGCTTTTGATGTTTTATCTAAGGCTTTGCCTAACCGAAGGGTCATAAAGATTTACTTCTATACTTTCTTCTAAGAATTTTATAGTTTTAGATCCTATATCCAGGTCTTTAATACATCTCAGAGAATTAAAAATTTTTTTCTTTTAAGTAATGGGGTCTTTCTATGTTGCTGTGTTACCCAGACTCAAATGCAGTAGCTATTCACCGGTGCAGTCATGGCTCACTGTGGCCTCAAACGATTCCCCACCTCAGCCTCTCGAGTACCTGGGACTGCAGGCACATGTGACAGTACCCAGCTCTTGCGTTAATTTTTTGTATATGGTGTGAGATAGAAGTTCAAATTCATTTTTTTGCACGTGGATGTTCAGTTGTCCCAGCAGCATTTGTTGAAAAGACTGTTCTTTTTCCATTGTATTGTGTTTGCACCCTGGTTGAAAATCAATTGATCATAATTTTAAGAATGTATTTCTTGACTCTTAATTCTATTCTCTTGATTGTATATCTATCTTTATTATTATTTTTTTGAGACAGGGTCTTGCTCTGTCACCCAGGCTGGAGTGTGGTGGCACAGTCACTACTCACTGTAGCCTTGACCTCCTAGGCCCAAGTGATCCTCCCACCTCAGCCTCCCAAGTAGCTGGGACCACAGGTGTGCACCACGACACCTGGCTAATGATTATTTTAGTTTTTTGTAGAGATAGCATTTCACCATGTTGCCCAGGCTGGTCTGAAACTCCTGGGCCCAAGGGATCCACCTGCCTCAGCCTCCTAAATTGCTGGGATGATTGGAGTGAGCCACCATGCCCATCTATCTATCTATCTATCTATCTATCTATCTATCTATCTATCTATCTATCTATCTATCTTTAAACCAGTACTAGCTAGTCTTGATTATTGTAACTTTGTATTAAATTTTGAAATTGGAAAGTGTAAGTACACCAACTTTGTTGTTCTTTTTCAAGATAGTTTTGATTTTTTAATTCTCTTGCATTTCCTTATTAATTTTAAAATCAGCTTGTCAATTTCTGCAAGAAAAAAAAAAAGAATAAATAAAGCCAGCTAAGATTTGATAGGGATTATGTTGAATCTGTGACTTAGTTTGTTAGTGTTGCTGTACAGGACTACCCGAGGCTGGGTAATTTATGAAGAAAAGAGGTTTGTGTGCTTCACAGTTCTGCAGGCTGTGCAAGAAGAATGGCGCCAGCATCTGCATCTGGTGAGGGCCTCAGGCTACTTCCACTCCTGGCAGAAGGGGAAGGGGAGCCAGTGTGTGCAGAGATCCCGTGGCAAGATGGGGGGTGCTATCAGGGTCCTTTAACAATCAACCTTCATGGGAACTAACAGAGTGAGAACTCACCCCCCGCCCTGCCCCAGCTGATTAATCTATCCGTGAGGAATCAGCCCTCACAGCTGAAACATTCCCCACTAGGCTCCACCTCCAACATGGGGATCTAATTTTAACATGAGGCATAAAGGGTCAGATATCCAAACTAGCAATCTGTGTATCTATTTGAAGAGCATTTTTAATAACATAAGGTTTTAATAACATAAGGTCTTTTGATCCATGAACATGGAGTGTCTTTCCATTTATTTAGGTCTTCATTACTTTCTTTTTTTAATTTAAAAATTTTCTTAGAAGGCCACATACAGTGGCTCACTTTGGGAGGCCAAGGCAGGTGGATCACCTGAGGTCAGGAGTTTGAGACTAGCCTGGCCAACATGTGAAACCCCGTCTCTACTAAAAATACAAAAATTAGCTGGGTGTGGTGGTGGACACCTGTAATCCCAGCTACCTGGGAGGGTGAGGCAGGAGAATGGCTTGAACCCAGGAGCGGAAGTTGCAGTGAGCCAAGATCGCACCATTGCATACCAGCCTGGGCGACAAGAGCGAAACTCTGTCTCAAAAAAAAATTTTTTTTTTTTCTTAGAGATGGTATCTCACTCTCTTGCCCAGGTTGGAGTACAAGTGGCATGATCATAGCTCACTGCAGTAGCCTCGACCTCCTATGCTCAAGCCATCCTCCTGTCTCAGCTTCCCGAGTGACTGAGACTACAGGCATTCACTACTGTGCCCGGTTAATTTCAAAAACATATATTTTTTTGACTTGGCGTGGTGGCTTACGTCTGTAGTCCCAGCACTTTGGGAGGCCAAAGCAGATGGATCACTTGAGGTCCGGAGTTCGAGACCCGTCCTGATCAACATGGTGAAACCCCATCTATACTAAAAATACAAAAATTAGCCAGGTGTGGTAGTACACGCCTATAATCCCAGCTACTCAGGTGGCTGAGGCACAAGAATCGCTTGAGCCCAGGAGGCGGAGGTTGCAGTGAGCCAAGATCATGCCACTGCATTCCAGCCTGGCAACAGAGCAGGACCCTGCCCATGCTGGTCTCAACCTCCTGGCCTCAAGCAATTCTTCCACTTCAGCCTCCCAAAGTGCTAGGATTATAGGCATTAACCACCGCACCTGCTGGCTTCTTTAATTTTTTTTTTTAAACAATGTTTTGTAGTTTTCTGCACACAAGTCTTACACTTCTTTTGTTAAAATTTTGTCTAAGAATTTTATTCTTTTTGATATTATTTTAGATGAAATTGCTTTGCTAACTTAATTTTTTTTTCTTTTGAGATGGAGTCTCGTTCTGTTGCCCAGGCTGAAGTGCAGTGGTGCAATCTTGGCTTACTGTAACCTCTGCTTCCTAGGGTCAAGCAGTTCTCCTGCCTTAGCCTCCCGAGTAACTGGGATTACAGTCACGCACCACTATGTCCAGCTAATTTTTTGTATTTTTAGTATAGGTGGGGTTTCACCATGTTGACCAGGCTGGTCTTGAACTCCTGACCTCAAGTTATCCACCCACCTCGGCCTCCCAAAGTGTTGGGATTACAGGCGTAAGCCACTGTGCCCGGCCTAATTTCATTTTTGGATTGCTCATTGCTAGTGAGCAATATTCAGAGTTGACTTTTGTATATTCGTTTTGTTTCCTGCACATTTGCTTGATTCACTTATTGTGGTTCTAATAATTTTTAAGTGGATCCCTTAGGATTTTCTGTATAGAAGATGTTCTGTACAACAAATAGAGATTTGCTTTAGTTCTTCCTTTCCAAATGAGATGTTTGTTTTTTTCTAATTGCACTGTCTAGAACCTCAAGTACAGTGTTGAATAGATACAATGGTGAGAGTGAATATCCTGGTCTTGTTCCTGATCATTAGGGGGAAAACATTCACCTTTTAACCATTATGTATACCTTATTTGCTTTTAAAAGGCATAATCTAGAATACTTTCCGAATGTAATTGAAAATATAAAACGTGTTGTTGTTGTTGTTGCAGCTTTGAAAAATGTAGATCCAGCCAGTCTCATAAGGCATATTTAGGTGTGAATATAAAGTTCCTGAACATTCTTTCTGCAGCTGTTCTCTGGATGCAGCATGGTTGAGAATGTGAAGCCTGTGCTGGGGTCTGGTTGGCTGAGCTGCCACTCTCCTCCTGTGCTGCTGTTCCGGCTCTGACTTTCTTTCCCTAGCTCATCGGCCGCTCAGGGTCGCATCTAGAAGCAGGTGGAGATGGGCTGGCATTTGGCAGCCCTGGCAGTCTGTTGACTATGCATTGAGCTGCATCCTGGAATCTCTGGGTGTTAGGAGTGGGTAAAAGGTTCTTAAGTATATATTTTAAGGAAATATAGCCTTATTACATAAAATTTGGGGAAGAAAATCACCCATAAATCTACCTTTTAACAGACAATTTTAAATACTCATTTTCAGCCCAGCACGGTGGCTCACGCCTATAATCCCAGCACTTTGGGAGGCTGAGGCGGGTGGATCACCTGAGATCAGGAGTTCAGGACCAGCCTGGCCAACATAGTGAAACCTCGTTTCTACTAAAAATGCAAAAATTCGCCGGGTGTGGTGGTGTAATCCCAGCTACCCGAGAGGCTGAGGCAGGAGAATCGCTTGAACCCGGGAGGTGGGGATTGCAGTGAGCTGAGATTGCACCACTGCACTCCAGCCTGGGTGACAGAGTGAAACTCTATCTCAAAATAAATAAATAAATAAATAATCATTTGCAGCCCTTTTCTGTATATAAAATGTATCTTGTTACATTGTAGACCCTACATAGCTTTGTATCCATTTATTTTATTTAATATTAATTTTCCAATAGTATTTGTATTACAGTTATAATACCATGTTCCCTCAACTGAATGTATCATGATTTATTTAACCATTGTGATGTCTGACATTTAGGTTGTTTCTGATGTTTTTCCCACAGACACTGCAGTGAACACATTTATGCATGTGTTTTTTTCCTGTCTTTCGATTATTACCTTAGAATAAGTTTCCCAAGAAGTAATTAGGTCCAAGGTCAGAACCTTTTTTTATTATTTTGAGACAGAGGTTGCAGTGGTGCAATCTTGGCTCACTGCAACCTCTGCCTCCCGGGTTCAAGCAATTCTCCTGTTTCAACCTCCTGAGTAGCTAGGACTGCAGGTGCACACCACCATGCCTGGCTAGTTTTTGTATTTTTAGTAGAGAAGGGGTTGCACCATGTTGGCCAGGTGGTCTCAAACTCCTGACTTCAAATGATCCATCCGCCTCAGCCTCCTAAAGTGCTGGGATTACAGGCGAGAGCCACCGTGCCCAGCCGGTCAGGACTGTTTAATGACGATGCATAGGCCTGACTTGATTTGTCAAAGGATGTATCGGTTCACATCATGAAGTAGTTTCAGCATAACCTTTAGAATGGTTGGACAGAATGGTGTCTTAAATTGCCAAGTGAAGGCTGGGTGCGGTGGCTAACGCCTGTAATCCCAGCACTTTGGGAGGCTGAGGCAGGAGGATTACCTTAGGTCGGGAGTTAGAGACCAGCCTGGCCAATATGGCGAAACCCTGTCTCTTCTAAAAATACAAAAATTATCCGAGCATCATGGCGTGTGCCTGTAATCCCAGCTACTTGGGAGGCTGAGGCAGGAGAATCGCTTGAACCCGGGAGGCAGAGGTTGCAGTGAGCCGAGACAGCACCACTGCACTACAGCCTGGGCAACACAGTGAGACTCTGTCTCCAAAAATAAATAAATAAAAAATAAGTAAATAAATTGCTAAGTGAAAGTGGCATGAAATCTTTTAATCTCCATTTATTGTTATTATTTAATGTGATTTGTTAATGGTAAATGTGAATATTAATTTGGAAAATTAGTAAGCTTAATTAAAAATGTAAAACATGTAAAAGAAAAAACCAATCAACCAACCCTTGGTGTCTGATATGCTTCACTCTTTTCCTGGCAGCCTGCCGATGTTCACCGTGCTCAGGAAATTCACCATTCCACTTACCTTACTTCTGGAGACCGTCATACTCGGGTGATTTTGTTTTTCCTCCATTCTTCCAGTGTGTCTCCCACCACTGCATTTCTTTTACCCAGCAAATTCTAGTAGCCATTGCTAGTTGGGCAATAATTTAAGGACAAATGGTTTATTCATTTAAAAGTAGTTGTGTGCTTCTGAGATTCCCTAAGAACTTAATGAGGGATTTTTTAAAAGTTGTAATTTTACCATAGACAAATAATGCATGTTTGTGGTAGAAAATCATAAGAAAGGGCCAGGCGCGGTGGCTCAAGCCTGTAATCCCAGCACTTTGGGAGGCCGAGGTGGGTGGATCACAAGGTCAGGAGATTGAGACCATCCTGGCTAAAATGGTGAAACCCCATCTCTACTAAAAATACAAAAAAATTAGCCGGGCTGGTGGCGGGCGCCTGTAGTCCCAGCTACTTGGGAGGCTGAGGCAGGAGAATGGCGGGAACCCAGGAGGTGGAGCTTGCAGTGAGCCGAGATCGCACCATTGCACTCCAGCCTGGGCGACAGAGCGAGACTCTGTCTCAACAAAAAAAAAAAAAAAAAAAAAAAAAAAAGAAAAGAAAATCATAAGAGAGAAGGAAAAAGAAACTCCAAAACAGATGTAAGCCTGTTTCCTGAGCCAGATGGAATATATACCAATTTCGGAATACAGAAGAGAAACTGTCCACGTATACATACAGGATAGGTGTGCAGGGTATGAGGGATGTCAGTTCTGATACAGTGATTATAATATCAGAAGAAATTAATTTTTATATTGTTGGTATAAAATTTCTCATGAGGATATTTAGTTTGATATCCAAAAAGTTGATTCTTGATTTTGCCGGGAGGATTATTTAGAAATGAATTTCGGTTGGTGGTTCAGTGTTTTAAGCCCTTGTACTGAATATTATCTTAATCTTTGAATACTCACTATCAGTCCGTACAAACTAGATCCACCAGCCGGAGCGCTTCTGTGTTTTGTCCCAGTATCTCTCTAGTGAGAACAGAGAAATCAGTTTGTAATTAGATTAAGAAAACTGCTTAAGAAATAATGTAAATTTAGTCTGGCTTAGAAACACTTTTAGTGCTTTCTCTACTTCAAGCATTGTCTGCTAGATTTTAGCTGTAAAACTGTTGATGTCTATTTTCAATTTGTTTAAAAAATAGAAAAAAAAAAAAAAAAAAAAAAAAAAAAAAAAAAAAAAAAAAAAAAAAAAAAAAAAAAAAAAAAAAAAAAAAAAAAAAAAAAAAAAAAAATAGAATCATATTTCAATGTTTTCCTGTCCGCTCCCTTTCCTTTCTTTATGTATTTATTACAGGAAGCAGTATTCGCTCAACATCATCGTCAGTGTCTTTGCCATCATTCTCGGGGCTTTCATAGCAGCTGGGTAAGACTTTGGACTGTTCCTGCTCAATAACTTCTTTGTGTCTTTCACAATAGGCCCAGCCCCATCCTCTGTTTTTCATTTTCCATCTGGCTGCCATTGAATTGAGCAGCCAGGAGACAAATCTGTTGAAGTTAGTGGAATCCCTGTGTGTTCCTGTGAAAGTCAAAGTGGGTCCCACCTTGGCCAGAAAATTTCTGAGAATATGTGAAGAGAGCATTGCAAGATATTAGTACAGCTTTTCTTCACAAAAAGCAGTGAACTGTTTATGTTTCTTACTGAATGTTTGTCTTTAATATAACAGCTTTACTTGAGAAGTTCTTAGGCATTTGATTAACAATAACAGACTTACAAAGCCTTTGTATGCTGATTTATTTTATTATTCCATGATACCTTAGCAGTTGCTATTTCCGATGGTAGAATGCTAAATGTATTTGTATGTTTGGGATACAAGCCAACACTGGTGCACGACTACTACTTTAATGATTATTTTGCAAAAGGAATAACAAGGACTGTAAGTCTTCATGGGCAGGCAGGTGCTCAGATTTCTCTATTACAGCATGCATGGTGGATAGTGCATGTTAATAGTTACATTCCCTGGGTGTGGTGGCTCACCCCTATAATCCCAGCACTGTAGGAGGCCTGGGTGGGAAGATCACCTGAGCCCATGAGTTTGAGATCAGCCTGGGCAACAGTGAGACCCTATCTCTACAAAAAAAAAAAAAAAGAGAGAAAATTAGCCTGGCATGGTGGTGTGTGCCTGGAGTCTCAGCTACTCAGGAAGCTGGGGAAAGAGGATCTCTTGGGCCCAGGAGTTTGAGGTTACAGTGAGCAAAGATTGCACCACTGCACTCCAGCCTGGGCAACAGAGTAAGATCCTGTCTCTAAGAAAAACAAATCATGCTTATTATTATTATAAATGTATTTAGTCCATTGTGCAGACTAAGGTTTATTACTTAATGTTTCATCTGTACCTTTCTCTCCCCTAGTCCTAGCCATGGGCTGAGTTTCACTCCTTGAAAGCTGGCTCTGTGGTCTCAGTGCTCCAATTCACACCGTGGGTATAGTGCCAGCAGCCATTAGACAGCAGCGCTCAGAGCCTGGTCTAGTCATGACAGGCTTTTTTTGGAATGAAATTTTAGGAGTAAAGTAGTTTAAAAAGGGAGGAGTTCTATGGAAGATGCTTTGGGGCTAAAGGGGACAGCTTCCCCCTCTACTCTCTGAAGGTTCATTAAAAAAGGAACTGTGGTGGCTCACGCCTGCAATCCCAACACTTTGGGAGGCCGAGGCGGGTAGATCACCTGAGGTCAGGAGTTAGAGACTAGCCTGGCCAACATGGCGAAACCCGTCTCTACTAAAAATACAAAAATTAGCCCGGTGTGGTGGCGTGCGCCTGTAATCCCAGCTACTGGGAGGCTGAGGTAGGAGAATTGCTTGAATCTGGGAAGTGGAGGTTGTAGTGAGCTGAGATTGTGCCATTGCACTCCAGCCTGGGTGACAGAGTGAGACTCCATCTCAAAAAAAAAAAAAAAAGGAACTGACAAAAGAGCAGATTGAGAAGAGAAAAAGACACACAGATTTACCTTCCCATGCCTGGGGTGGAGATCACGGGAGAGCGGCCACCCAGTGACCCAGTGGGGTGCAGGTGCTTCTATATCCTTCTTCACGGAGGGCAGGGAGTGGAGACAATGCTTTGGAGAGGTCAGGAGTGATGACTGGAGAGAATGAATGGGCCTGGGAGACAGAAATTGTAAAGGATTGATTCTCTTTGGAATTTGCACCTGAGAGGCAGACATTATATTTTTAAAGTCTGCCCAGATGTGGCTGCATTCCTCAGTCTTGTTCTCTGCAGTAGATGTCAGAGAGGGGGATGGAAAGCAAGTGTGTTCTCATGAGTGGCAGTCTTTTAAGGTCGAAAAGGGAGTATCCAAGAAAAACCTCTTCAGCATCTGCTGCCCTTCAAGGGCTTCCCATGTAAAATAATCTGCATGCCAGGGTCCCATATTTTGGGGTGAAATTCCCTGGGCTCCTCCCACGGCACTCTGAGGTCTCCCCAGCACAGCCCCTCTCTTCTAGCTTCCTTAGGGCTCATCTTGAAAACCACTGGCTTACAGCCAGTTAAAGACTTTTGCAAAAAATGGTTTATAAAACTGTTGGTAAGTCTTTGGTGAGGAATGGCCCTTCAGTTACCATGTGTATACAGGCACGTTTCCAGAACCAGGGAGCAGAAATCCAGTCTGTGCTTCACATATGCAAGGACAGTCTGCAAATGATCTGAAAGGGTAAATCGGGGTTCCAAAAGCATCTGACTTTCAACCAAGAACCAGCCTGGAGTATCCATGCTCAGGCTGGCCCTACCTCTGGCACTCACAGAACGGATCCCCTCCTGGCTGCTGGCATTCACAGCGCTTAGCCACAGATCAGCCGTGAGTGCTCAGCTAGAGACCAGCAGAGACCCCATCCTGCTCTCCTCTTACATTAGCGCATCCAGATGCAAGCAGTGGCAGATCAGAATGTCCGGTGAGCAGGCGATGCTGCTGTAACAAACAACCTCCACACGGCAGTAACTTCACTCACCAGATGCACCCCATCCATGCCACACACACCACCCAACACTAGGCAGTGCTAGTGAGAGGGCTCTGCTCCATGTGCTTACTCAGGCATCCAGGCTGATGGAGTCCCTGCCTCAGAGGGCACTTCCTTTACCAAACAAGCAGGAAAAGGGAATGTGGGGAATTGTGTACTGGTTCTTAAAGGTTTCACCCAGAAGTGACATGTGTTACCTTCTCTCACATTTTATTCAAAAAGCAAGTCACATGGCCAGAAAAAGTTAAAATACAACATCTGGGCTGGGTGTGGTAGCTCATGCCTGTAATCCTGTTACAGGAAAGGGGTCCTGATCCAGACCCCAAGAGAGGGTTCTTGGATCTTGTGCAAGAAAGAATTCAGGGCAAGTCCACAGTGCAGAGGGAAAGCAAGTTTATTAAGAAAGTAAAGGAATAAAAGAATGGCCACTCCATAGACAGAGCAGCCCCGAGGGCTGCTGGTTGCCCATTTTATGATTATTTCTTGATGATTTGCTAAACAAGGGGTGGATTATTCATGCTTCCCCTTTTAGACCATATAGGGTAACTTTCTGACGTTGCCCTGGCGTTTGTAAACTGTCACAGTGATGGCGGGAGTGTAGCAGTGAGGACGACCACAGGTCACTCTTGTGGCCATTTTGGTTTCGGTGGGTTTTGGCCGGCTCCTTTACTGCAACCTGTTTTAATCAGCAAGGTGTTTATGACCTGTATTTTGTGCTGACCTCCTATCTAATGCTGTGACTTAGAATGCCTTAAAACCGCCTGGGAATGCAGCCTAGTAGGTGTCAGCCTCATTTTACCCAGCTCCTGTTTAAGATGGAGTTGCTCTGGTTCACACGCCTCTGACAATCCCAGCACTTTGGGAGGCCCAGGTGACAGGATTGCCTGAGCCCAGGAGTTTGAGACCAGCCCTGGCAACATAATGAGACCCTGTCACTACAAAAATAGAAATAAAAAAATTAGCTGGGCATGGTGGCACATGCCTGTAGTCCCAGCTACTCAGGAGACTGAGATAGGAGGATCGCTTGAACAACTGCAAGGGTTACATGAATCTGCTCTAATTGATTAAACAAGTAAATTCTTCAGAAATGTCTGTGCTGTCACCACCGGCCTAAACAAATGGTGGGTAAGCCGCCTGACAGTGGCCCAGGCTTCTGGGAGTGGGAGCAGTGCTGCTGGGAACTCTTGGTCCCCCGAGTAGGAGTTCCCCTGCAGCTCTCCCAGGAGGCGGGCAGTGTCTCCTCCCATCCTCTTTCCACTCACTTAGCTCTGCCGTCTAAGGGGGCAGCAGACTCTGCTCTTCTTCACGCTGAATCACATATGGGTAGGTAAGAAATTTGGAAGACCCTTATTTTGAAGAAAATCCTTTTGTTTTGAGACGGAGTTTCACTCTTGTTGCTCAGGCTGGAGTCGTGATCTTGGCTCACCACAACCTCTGCCTCCCCGGTTCAAGTGATTCTCCTGCCTCAGCCTCCCAAGTAGCTGTGATTACAGGCATGCGACACCAGGCCCAGCTAATTCTGTATTTTTAGTAGAGACGGGGTTTCTCCATGTTGGTCAGGCTGGTCTTGAACTCCCAACGCAGGTGATCCATCCACCTTGGCCTCCTAAAGTGCTGGGATTACAGGCATGAGCTACTGCGCCCGGCTGAAAATCCTTTTTTTTTTTTTTGAGACAGAGTCTCGCTGTGTCGCCCAGGCTGGAGTGTGGTGGCGCGATCTTGGCTCACCGCAAGCTCCGCCTCCTGGGTTCACGCCATTCTCCTGCCTCAGCCTCCCAAGTAGCTGGGATTACAGGTGCCCGCCACCAAACCCGGCTAATTTTTTGTATTTTTAGTAGAGATGGGGTTTCACCATGTTAGCCAGGATGGTCTCGATCTCCTGACCTCGTGATCCACCCGCCTCGGCCTCCCAAAGTGCTGGGATTACAGGTGTGAGCCACCGCACCTGGACTTTTTTTTTTAGATTGTGACTGAGAGAGAATTCTGACTTACGATGACTAAAATTAACTTCCCTTCTCACAAATATGTTTGTAGATAATAATGTGTGGAGGCCTCAAGCAAAAGTCTAATTTGCATTCAGATTTTGGTACAGTTTTTGCTCTCTTTCATTCTCTTTGGTTAGAAATAATCTTATTTTGACGTTGAAGAAGATTTAGGATATGCCCCTCCAAACTATGCTACTGTGGGATCAGGATTATTTTGAGCTGAGGACAATTGAGAATCAACACATCAGGAAGTTTGCTGCCTTCTCCTTTCTGCCTAAAAAACAGGGAATCAGTTTCCCATTGTGAAGGGGGCCCCTTCTCCCATCCCAGGAAGAGGAGAGCAATTCCTGTCACTGGATGGAGGATCGGCCCTGAGATGCATCTGCATAAACAAACCCTCAAATAACCCTTCTCCTTCATCATTTCCACTGTAGATTTCCTAGTTACTTTCTAACAGTTACACAATTTATTTGTTCCTTGAAGCCCAAATCCTCTTTCCTTTGTCACAATGTAAGTCCCCAAGCCTCACTGTTTCTTTGAGTTTCACTTATTTTCTGTGAACTTTAGGGAACGTATTAATAAGATTTGTATTCTCTTTCTCCTGTTAATCTGTCTTTTATCAGTGACATTAGCAGGCCCCCAGACACTGAACCTGAGCGGGTACAGGAAAAGGTTTTCCTCCCTGGCAGTGTGTATTTCTGAATATTATGGTCTAGCACTGTCTGCAACCATCAAGTGCAGGTGGGTGGGCCACTTCATGGCTCAGCTGTTGCTCTTCCTCTTGTTCCTGTCATAGCTCCCCAGATGTTTTTACGCTGGTGCTATTTATAATGGAAATGGAAGAGAAGATGTTTCAAAAGAACGGGAAGAAAGGAGCCAATAAGGGGTCACACAGAAGGATGGACAGGGTGCGGCTGGGGCACCAGAAGGAGGTGTCGCTGCCTCATGCAACCCCTCTTACCCAGTCTCTGCCAGCTGCCCCTCACTGGCTGCACCCTGGGGGTGGCCCTGTTCACTACAATAAGCAAAGTCGCTGAGTGGGACAGGGTGAAGCACTCCCCTTAGGAAAGTCAGGGCTCACCAATTATTACGCGGATTCCTCAGCTGGCGAAAGAAAGGGGCTGCAGTTGAAGGAGGATGGTTCCTGTCCCTCAGGTTTTAAGCCGTTCACTGCTGAGTTGAAGCCACCTGATGGGCTGGTTTGGTTTTTGTCTGGAGGCAAAGCAGAGGAATTAACCATTCACTACCGCACAGCGTGCCACAGAAAAGTGCATTTGATTAGGGAAAGGTAAAACAGGCGGGCTTGGAGGCCAAGTTAGGAGTTTTCGAATAATCCTTCTCCTTTTGTGGTCTCCCTCCCAGGTCTGACCTTGCTTTTAACTTAGAAGGCTATATTTTTGTATTCCTGAATGATATCTTCACAGCAGCAAATGGAGTTTATACCAAACAGAAAATGGACCCAAAGGTACCAGACCTTGCCTATGGCTTTTTGGCTTTGTCATCTGGGCCCTAGAATTATATGAAAAACGAAAATGAATGTGTACAGTTGGCATGTCATGTAATTTATATAATATGACGTGTAGATTCCTAATTTATTTTCAATTATCTTGTCTGTGTAAGTTATTATTTGCAAAATTTTGGGTGAAAATGAGATAGCATGGGAAAAGCTACTAGTTTAGATGCACACTCAGAATATATAAAAAGGGATTAATTTGAAAGGCAAACTAACTTTTTTACTGGCATCATCAACGACCAAGGCAAGGTCAGGGGTCACGATATTTGTTCTGAGAGCACTAGTTTGGAGTCTGGAGATGTGGGTTAGAGGCACAAGTTTTGCTACTTACTGGCCGTTGTGACTTTGAACCTTAACTTCTCCAAACGTCAGTTTCCTCATCTGTGGAATGAAATGACTGCAATGGATAATTTGTAAGGTCCTGTCCAGCCATAGCTGCTGCTTCTGATGATGAGGGGCTGGGGCAGAGGAGCTTTGCTTTTGTGTGGCTGCCTGTCACGTGGAGGCCCCATCCCTCCCCCCGCACAGCTGTTACAGGAAGCCCGGGAGGATGAGTCACACATATGTTTCTTTGTTCCAAGCTCTTTGTGCTGGATGAGGGAGTTCACTCTGACCAACAGGCTTATTTCTATGAGCTTTTTTTTTTTTTTTTTTTTTAATCTGCACTGTGTTTTTTTTCCCCCCTGCATGGCCTTTTTTTTTTTTTTTTTTTTTTTTTTTTTTTTTTTTTAACGGTAGCAGTTTTACAAAAACAGGTTTGTTGTCTTTGCAAAATCACAATATGTCATCCTTTTTTGAAAATGGTGAAGTGGTGTGGCCACTTTAATGAAAGTAAATGTATAATGCTGCTGTCCTTTAATGGAAACAGCAGATGTTTTTAAAGAGTTTTGTTTATATTCACGTTTTTAATGTTCTTTATTTTGTTCCAGATTTCCCATTTTGAATAACGTGCTTAAAAAAAACCCCACACAATTAGAATGCTGGAGATGAATGGAACCCTAGAGACTTTCCACTGCCATGAGTTTTCTCTGTAGTTTTGGTGTAAAACAAATGTTTATTCCAAAATCTCAGTACCCTCAAAATGAAGCATTTTATGTCAGAAATTTGCTGAAAATATTCCAGTACAGTTGCCCAGAATGCATATTCTAACTTTGCATGAATATGCAGTTGAATAAATGGCTCCAGGAAATCTGTGCGTCATGTTTCTAAAATTGAGTGGTTTTTATGTTTTTGTTTTTGCAGGAGCTAGGGAAATACGGAGTGCTCTTCTACAATGCCTGCTTCATGATTATTCCAACTCTTATTATTAGTGTCTCCACTGGAGACCTGCGACAGGTGAGCTGATGGCAATCGTTACAGTCTTCCTTAGCAGGCTGTAACATTTTTAATATTTAACATTTGGTATGCACAGAAATAAAACGTGTAAAGGTAGCTGGGACTACCAGGAGGGTACATGATAACAAGATGTTTGATATCCCTAGTAATCTTTTGGCACTACCCTTGCATTGGCATTTAGCTTTAGCCACATATCAAGGAGTGCCAAGAACTGTGGACTTGGAACTTTTTGGAACACAACAATACAAATCTGAGTTTGAGTTCCATATCGCCCTTTGCTAATGTGGGACCCTGGGAGAGCTACTTACCCTAGAAGGGGATTTTGATCATTTCAAAAAATAGGTTTATTTATTTGTTACTTTCTATTACGGACATTTTGAAACGTGCACAAAATAGAATAATTCAATGAGCAGTCACGGACCCACCACCTAGCTTCAACACTTTGGCATTTTGCCATATTATTTTATCTGTCCTCATCCACCCCCACTTTTTTGTTCCCTGGAGTGTTTTAAAACCTATCCCAGCCATCACGCCATTTTACCTCTAAATATCCCAGGATCCACATTTGAATTTTGGGAAGGTGTTGTTCTTTCAGCATTTGCCCTGAAACCCGATCTGCTGCTGGTGAGAGACAAATGAAATGGTCAATTTAGTGGTAAGATCTGAGGCCCAGTGGAGCGGTGGAGGCCAAGTCTCTTAGGAAGTGTGGACATTCACTACAGTGACAGCTCCAGCGGCCACCCTGAAGGGTGCAAGACGATGCCCTAGATACTTTTCCTATATGATGGGAATAGCCCATCAGGTGGCTTCAACTCAACAGTGAATGGCTTAAAACCTGAGGGACATGAACCATCTTCCTTCAACTGCAACCCCTTTCTTTCGCTAGCTGAGGAATCTGCATAATAATTGGTGAGCCCTGACTTTCCTAAGGGGAGTGCTTCACCCTGTCCCACTCAGCGACTTTGCTTATTGTAGTGAACAGGGCCACCCCCAGGGTGCAGCCAGTGAGGGGCAGCTGGCAGAGACTGGGTAAGGGGTTGCATGAGGCAGCGACAACTCCATCTGGTGCCCCAGCCGCACCAGACTTCTTCAGGAAGTCGCAGGCCACACAGCCTCTGAGAATTTTGCTGATGTGTAAGTGAGTGTGAGAAACGAGATGCGAGGGGCAAAACCCTCCTCGGCGGGACCTGCACCCACAGACTCAGCTCCAGACACAGCCCTGACCAGCCCGGCGGTAACCCCCTCATTGCTGGGCTGGGGCTGGGGCCGCACCCATTGACCCACGGCCAGGGCGGTGTTTCCATGTCGAGCAGTCAGCGTGGGTGCGTGTTGCCCACCAGCTGAAAGTCGATCCCATTGGCAGCTCTTTTAGGGTCTGAGTGACTCTGAAGGCTGCAGGCTGCTGTGGACTCCTGGGCAGCTCATTGTTCTTTCGTTAGCTGGACTTTCTCACTTGACCAATTCTCTTCCCAGAAGGAGGGGTCAGCAGAGGGGCTGAGCAACCTCGTCCCCGGGCACAAACAGCCATTTCCACGGGTTTATGCGGAAAACCACCAGGTGGCACCAATCTGGATAAAGAGCTCTTGTTTCGGGTTAATCAGAACGTTGTGAACCTGGGCCTCCTGTTAATTCCGTGCTGGAAGATAAAGCGGGCACCTGCCCCTCTCTAGGAAGAATGAGCAGGGCAGGATATCTGAAAACACAGTATTTGTGTTTCCGCTACCAGCAATCAATCTGAAACTGAGTCAGTGCCAGCAACGTTACAAAAAACAAAATTATGAACTCTTGGCCAGGCGTGGTGGCTCACGCCAATCATCCCAGCACTTTGGGAGGCTGAGGCAGGCGGATCTCCTGAGGTCAGGAGTTCGAGACCAGCCTGGCCAACATGATGAAACCCCATTTGTAGAGAGTATTTTTAGCAGTAAAAATACAAAAATTAGCCAGGCATGGTGGCAGGCGCCTGTAATCCCAGCTACTTGGGAGGCTGAGGCAGGAGAATCACTTAAACCCAGGAGGCAGAGGTTGCAGTGAGCTGAGACTGTGCCACTGTATTCCAGCCTGGCTGACAGAGCAAGACTCCGTCTCCCCCCAAAAAAATCACAAACTCTTCATGAGTGGTTCTAGTGGTTTGTCTCCTTTCATTATTATAGAAGTGAGGTTTTTTTTTTTTTTTAATCACTGGAGTTTTATCTGTTCTGAAATTCTGGTATTTTAGATAATTTTTTTTCCAGAAATAGAAATCTAGAAACTCCTAAAAATTGTTAAAACACCTCATTGGGACTAAAAGCATATTTCCCCATGGGAACAACGCTATGAAAGGCATAGTGACCAGAAACTGAATTTTAGGTAGTTGATGAGTAAAATAGATTAGGTGTATTATGTTAATAATTTATAACATTGTTTCAGAAGAAATATGTGTTCTCATATCAAAGTCATTGGCTTATAAACTTATAGCATGGTGTTTTCAGAAGCTGCTACATGCCTGTAATGATTATCATGCAGAATTCTACTTTCTCATGTAATAATAATAATAGCCAATATTTGTTGAGGGCTTATGATGTCAGACATTTTTCAAAGCATTGTTCATGAATTATCTGACTGCATTTCCACGACGGAAGAGAAGGTCCTGTTACTATTCCTGTCGTATAGGAAAAGCATCCAGGGCATCGTGCTTAAGTATCTTCCCAAGAATAGCAGGTGGTCAGTTCAGGCACTCTGGGCTCTAGAAACATCCTCCACTGTCATCTCATTTACTTTATTTGTATATGAAAAGTGTTTGCTTTCTCCTTCATGTGTGAAAAACATATCCCTCACTTATACAAAGTACCAGAGACCTAACATATTCTTTATGTTTGTTTATTTTATTTTGTTTTTTTGAGACAGAGTCTCGCTCTGTCACCCAAGCTGGAGTGTAGTGGTGCGATCTTGGCTCACTGCAACTTCCATCTGCCAGATTCAAGCAATTCTTCTGCCTCAGCCTCCCGAGTAGCTGGGATTACAGGTGCCCACCACCATGCCCAGCTAATTTTTGTATTTTTAGTGGAGATGGGGTTTCACCATGTTGGCCAGGCCGGTCTTGAACTCCTGACCTCAGGTAATCCGCCTGCCTTGGCCTCCCAAAGTGCCAGGATTACAGGTGTGAGCCACTGCGTCCAACCCCAAAAGTTTGACTGTTTTTTTTTTTTTTTTTTTGAGATAGAGTTTTGCTCTTGTTGCCCAGGCTGGAGTGCAAGATCGCTTGGCTCATTGCAACCTCCGCCACCCAGGTTCAAGCGATTCTCCTGCCTTAGCCTCCCGAGTAGCTGAGATTATAAGCGCCCACCACCATGTCCGGCTAATTTTGTATTTTTAGTTGAGACGGGGTTTCACCATGTTGACCAGGCTGGTCTCAAACTCCTGACCTCATGATCTGCCCACCTTCCAAAGTGCTAGAATTACAGATGTGAACCACTGCGCCAAGTTTAACTAGTTTTAAAAGTATTGTATGACGAGAGATGCCAAATATATGAGACACTCACTGTAATCTGCAAGAAAAAGCCATCAACTCCATAGGAAAAAAAAACAAAAACAAAAACAAAACAGTGACGTTTCCACTACTAACATTGAATCAGGGTAAATTTCTTCCCATTGGTCCCTTTTGACCATGGCGGAATTCATTTTAGATTGTAAACCAAATAAGAAAAAGAAATGAATTTATGTAATTAGGTGTGTTAGCCTGTAATATAAAATTGCTTTTTGTTTACCAAGTTTGGTTTGACTGTTCTGAAAGCTGATTAATGAATTAGAGCAAAATGTGAACTTCTCTTGTTAATGGAAAGAAATTCGATGAGTTATTTTTCCTAGTTAACTGGGACTAGGAGCGATGGAGAGGATCAGAGATTGTGGTAAACGTGTGTGTGTGACTCACTCCTCTGGGAATTCAAGCCCAGACTTTGGACTTACACAGTCAATAGATCTATTAATAGTGCCTCGATTCTATCTCTGATGAACAAAGTCAGAGGTGACAGCTTCTCTTGTTAACAAATTAGGCCCTTGGAAAATACTCAGCGGGTGAACTTTCTTCACTATTTGAATCACTGCAGTAGGTTCAAAGTACATCTAGTATATTACAGTTGACGAACAGGGATAAAGAATGGGACTTTTTTTTTTTCCCCTGATTGAAAAACCCTGAGTGCAAAGTGAAAAAGACTCATATTCCCACAGTAAGTCTAAAGGAAGAAGGGCTTTATTGTTATTTACCTTTAATTATTTCTTTTTAAAAATAAATGTCATGCTACATTATTTTTAAAATGCCACTAATACAGTCTCATCATTATTAAGGAAATAAAACTAAAATCTATAAAAATTTAGGTTGGGTCTGGTCATGGTGGCTCACGCCAGTAATCCCTGTACTTTGGGAGGTTGAGGTGGGTGGATCTCGAGGTCAAGAGATCGAGACCATCCTGGCCACCATGGTGAAAATCCGTCTCTACTAGAAGTACAAAAATTAGCTGGGTGTGGTGGTGAGCACCTGTAGTCCCAGCTACTCGGGAGGCTGAGGCAGGAGAATTGCTTGAACCTGAGAGGTGGAGGTTGCAGTGAGCCGAGATGGTGCTGCTGCACTGTAGCCTGGTGACAGAGGGAGACTCTGTCTCAAAAAAAAAAAAAAAAAAAAGGTTGGTGAAGAATCTAAATATTTTTATGAGTCACAAAATAGCCCTCAATGGATTTTGTTGTATCAGGAACACATATATAGTTTTTATTTATTTCTTATTAATGGATGGATTGATTTTTTACTGTTTGCATAAATACTTTTAGCTCTTTGAGAAAATAGATGTTTTTCTACCCTTGGTTTGAAATTTAAAACTTACGTATTTCTCTTATTCCCAATTTTATTTTAATTTCAGACAGTAAGTGTTTCCCATGATTTTTGTGGTTTTGTTTTGTTTTGGTCTTTGACTGCCTTAAACGTAAACTTTTCGGCTTTAATTCTCTTGGATGTTTTCTGCTCCTTTGATTAGCTTGGGGCTTGCTGGTAAGACAGATTTTTATTTATTATATTTTTCTTTCACAAGTACGCATTTAACAAAAAGTGTTAGGATGCAAGGAAACTGTCAAACATATACAGAAGGAGACAGAGTGATGTGGCAAACTCCACATATATGCCCATCAGCCAGTTTCAACAGTTAGGAACACTTAATGTGTGTCTTTTTTTGTTTGTTTGTTTTTGAGACAAGGTCTCACTGTGTTGCCCAGGCTGGAGTGTGCAGTGGTACCATCACGGCTCACAGCAGCCTCCATCTCCTGGGCTCAGGTGATCCTCCCACCTCAGCCTTCCCAGTAGCTGGGACCACAAGTGTGCACACCACCATGCCCAGCTAATTTTTGTAATGTGTATCTTTTTGATAAGTGAAGTGGGCAAAGCATTACTAATGAAACAGTGACAGTGAAATGTGACAAGATGGTCCCGATTGGAGAAGAGAATTCTACCTTAATTGTTTAAAAATTTGAACTATAAACTTAAAAGATTTCATTTTAAATACATAGAGTTTCTAAAACTTGGCTAACAAAGTATTGCTTACTAGAAAGTGAGTGGAACTTATATTTGATTCTATTTGATCCTGTTACGGGCAGTCTTCAGACACCTTCAAATTGTTTTTGGATACAAGTAGGAGACCAACCATGAAGAAAATACTCCTTCTTATTGTCTCCTCAGGAGGGTTAATTTAATTTTCTCAGCTAGGGATGAAATCCCTGGAGAGCAGAAATTGAGTCTTTTTTGTTTGTTCGTTTGAGGTGGAGTTTTGCTTTTGTTGCCCAGGCTGGAGTGCAATGGCATGACCTCGGCTCACTGCAACCTCTGCCTCCCGGGTTCAAGCGATTCTCCTGTCTCAGCCTCCATAGTAGCTGGGATTACAGGCCCCTGCCACTGTGCCTGGCTAATTTTTGTATTTTTCGTAGAGATAGGGTTTCACCATGTCAGCCAGGCTGGTCCCAAACTCCTGACCTCAGGTGATCCACCCACCTCGGCCTCCCAAAGTGCTGGGATTACAGGTGTGAGCCACTGCACCTGGCCAGAAATGAAGTCTTAAACTTCTTTGTCTACCATCTCCTCCACCTCAATTACTTGATTGCTTTGTAAGTAACAAATAATAGTTTATTTGTTCACAATACTTCCTAAGCATGTGCAAGTTCCTGAAAACAGTTTATGACCTTAAACTTTTCTTGCCTACATTATTAATTAAGAATAAACTTTTTGGCTGGGTTTGGTATATACCTGTGTGTATAGTCCCAGCTACTAAGGAGGCTGAGGTGGGAGGGCTGATTAATCCCAGGAAGTAGAGGCTGCAGTGAGCCATGATCACACCTGGGTGACAGAGCAAGACCTGGTCTCAAAAAAGAAAGAAAAAAAAGAGATAATCAACTTTCTTCTAAAATTATTTACAAAAAATAAACCCAACCTTGAATTTGGGACCACAAATTAAACTAGTAAAGGTGTGTAAAGTCAGTGAATCAATGATAGCCACAGCGATAATAGCAGTTGTGATTTTGTGCTGGCTGTCAGCACAGTCCTAAACAATTTCATTCAGTCCTTATATCCACCTTTTGAGGAAGGCTTTCCTTTTTTAAAATAATCTACATTTTGTAAAATGAATCTGAGATTCAGGGAAGAAAAGAGATTTGCCCAACGTCACCCAATTAGTATCACCTAGGATTTTTAGCATTATATTTTCTGTTTGGGAAGATGGTTCCTGTATCAAAACGCAGTTTAGTAAAACCAGTAAATTTAAACTGCAGTATCATTAACCTAATCATTACTTTTTTTCTTTTTTAATAATAGGCTACTGAATTCAACCAATGGAAGAATGTTCTGTTTATCCTACAGTTTCTTCTTTCCTGTTTTTTGGGGTAAGAAACCATAGATAAGTAGAAACACTGGTCGACAATATCTCTTGACAAGTCACATCAAGATATGCCTTCTGTCTATTCTGTCAGAATTCCTTTGTGTTTCTCTGACTTTCTCTGCAAAGTACCCCTGCAGCAAAGGAGGTGGCAGGGACCCAGGACACCTGGAAACCCAGCCTGAAAGACCAGGAGCAAGCATACAACTCTTGTTTTTGAAAGTCATGCTAATGTCCTTTCTCCTCCAAAATACGATGTTGCCTATTGATTTCTGAAAGTTTGTCTGACATGAAGTCAGCTGACGTTTCAAGCTCAATGCTGAGGACTTTTTTGTTTTTGTTTCTTAAGAGATGGAGTCTCACTGTGTTGCCCAGGCTGGACTCAAACTCCTGGGCTCAAGCAGTCTTCCTGCCTTCGCCTCCTGATCAGCTGGGACTCCGGGCTCCTGCCTCCAGGCCTGGCAGTGATATGTTTTTGTCTTTGTCACCATGTCGTTAGTTTTTCAAGATGCCTTCCTCACATAATGATGAGACTATGACAGCCTTTTCCTATAGTGCTACACCTGCTATATTCAGGAAAATTTCCAAAGAGAGATGTCCAGGCTGTTGTATGGTCCAACAGTTAGGCGTTTTTGTTCTTGAAATTTTCTTTCTTTTCTTTTTTTTTTTGGAGATGAAGTCTCGCTTTGTTGCCCAGGCTAGAGTGCAGTGTCGTGATCTTGGCTCACTGCAACCTCTGCATCCCAGGTTCAAGCAATTCTCCTGCCTCAGCCTCCCGAGTAGCTGGGCTTACAGGCATGCACCACAACGCTCGGCTAATTTTTTGTGTTTTTAGTAGAGATGGGGTTTCACTGTGTTAGCCAGTATGGTCTCGATCTCCTTACCTCGTGATCTGCCCGCCTCGGTCTCCCAAAGTGCTGGGATTACAGGCGTGAGCCACCTGGGCGCCCGGCTCTGTTCTTGAAATTTTCTTTAGGTATATCTTCTTGTTAAGAGGCCATATAGTTTGTGTCTATTTCAATCTTCTAAAGACTTGAAAATCCCTTTGCATGAATAGGTGATTCATGCAACCAGGAAATCATTAAAAAGGTATGAAAGAATAAATAGGGAGGCTGAGGCGGGTGGATCACCTGAGGTCAGGAGTTTCAGACCAGCCTGGCCAACATGGCATAACCCCATCTCTACTAAAAATACAAAAATTAGCTGGGTGTGGTGATGCACACCTGTTGTCCCAGCTACTTAGGAGTCTGAGGCAGAAGAATCACTTGAACCCAGGGGGTGGAGGTTGCAGTGAGCCAAGATCGTGTCACTCCAGCCTGGGTGACAGAGGAGACCCTATCTCAAAAAATAAATAAATAAATAAATAAATAAATAAATAAATAGGGGACGCCAGCTCCCCTCCATTATTCCCTGCCTCCAGCACTGTCGTTTTCTTCTCCAGAGGCAACACTGTTGGAAATCTTGGGAGGATCCTTCCTGAGCGGGGTTCATTCCAGTACAGGCCCTGGTGCCTTCTCCCATACTGAAGGGGCCCTTGAATTCCTATAGCAGGGAATCACTCATCAAATGATTTTTCCTGTGAAGGAAGATGCATTCCCTCTCCACCGGCCACACTTTTCATTCTGTGTAGGTGAACTAAGACAACTCATGACCTCTTGGATCAACACTCTTCCATTCTCAATCTCGATTTCAGTTGCAGTGATGTAGTCACATGTAGTAAAAACATTTATGTATCTCTTCCATTCAATAGTTCTCTCTTTAGCTGTGTCTGATTTAATGTTTAACCTGTTGATGGAGTTTTTGATTTGAACAATTTTTTATTTTCTTTGTAAAAGTTCCACAGTTTTTTCCCAAGCATGGCTGTTCATTTAGAAACACTCTCACTGGTGATCCTTGTGACTGTGCCTTTGACTTCTTTAAGTGTCACACACAGCTATTCTATATTCTGTATCTGACAATCCCAGCATCTGCAGCTCTTGAGAATTTAAGTGTGTACTTTTTTGTTTCAGGTGATGTTCATTGTGGTTTGCTTTTTTCTGTCTTTGGTGACCTGTGATTGTAAGCATTTTGCTTAATTTTTTTTTTTTTTTGAGGTGGAGTCTCACTTTGTCCCCCAGGCTGGAGTCCAGTGGCATGATCTTGGCTCACTGCAACCTCCACCTCTTGTGTTCAAGTGATTCTCCTGCCTCAGCCTCCTGAGTAGCTGGGATTACAGGCGCCCACCACCACACCTGGCTAATTTTTGTATTTTTAGTAGAGACGGAGTTTCACCATGTTGGCCAGGCTGGTCTCGAACTCCTGACCTCAGGTGATCCTCCTGCCTCGGCCTCCCAAAGTGCTGGGATTACAGGCATGAGCCACCGCACCTGGCCCGTTTTGCTTAATCTTGATCAGCCCCGTGAGCTGAAATTGGGAATTTGAGATACTTTTCCACAGGGACAGGTTGTATTTGCTTCTGCTGGTAGCCAGGGGTTGCCCCAGACTTTGGTCCCTTCAGGCCTTTCGAGAGTCTGGGCTCAGTACCCCCTCCTCCCCCTAGAGTTTGGCCCCAAGCCAAACTTCTCTCCCATTCATGGAAAAATTGTCTTCCACAAAATCAGTTCCTGGTGCCAAAGAGGTTGGGGACCACTGCCTTAGAGCACTTAGCCATTGTTGGAAGCATAAGTTTAGTAAAATACCTGTAGTTTTCCCAGTTGTTGACTGAGAACATTTAACCTTGGAAAAAAAAAAAAATCTAAGCCATGCTTGTGAGTCATCCTTTGTCAAACCATCTCTTATTTTCCTCTCTAATTGAAAAATAAGAAGTCAGCCCTTAGTACACAAACTTAGGCTAGCTCCTTTCCCTGGCTAAGCCTGTATTCCTCTGTGAAGAGTAGAGCAGAGATTCGAAGTCTTCTCATGTCATTGTAAACTTGATGACATATTGGCTTTTTTGGTTTGTTTTTTGTTTTTAACATGCACTTTACTGTTTAACCATTCCACGAAGGAAATCAAGAATTTGACCCTCTGAGGTCAGCTGTCCTCAGTGGGTGAGGGCAGGCAGCCTTGCTGTGAGCTGTCACTCTCCAGGGCTTGCCCATGAGAGGCTTGACCCCATCTGTCTACAATTCCATACTTTTTTTTTTTTTTTTTTTGAGATGGAGTCTCGCTCTGTCGCCCAGGCTGGAGTGCGGTGGCGCAATCTCGGTTCACTGCAAACTCCTCCTCCCGGGTTCACACCATTCTCCTGCCTCAGCCTCCCGAGTAGCTGGGACTACAGGCGCTGCCACCTCGCCTGGCTAATTTTTTTGTATTTTTTTAGTAGAGACGGGGTTTCACCTTGTTGGCCGGGCTGGTCTCGAACTCCTGACCTCGTGATCCGCCCGCCTCAGCCTCCCAAAGTGCTGGGATTGCAGGCGTGAGCCACCGCACCCGGCCAACATGAACTTTACCTTTAATGGTGAAGTTTTCAATCTGAAATTGCACTGCGAGGAGACCTCCATTTTGGCATGGCGGCTTTTTCAGAATCCTGCTTTCTTGCAGTTTCTCAAAGTACGCTAGGATCTGATCATCTGCATCTCCATAGTGAGCTTCCCAGCACCTCCTTGGCTTTGGGCACTGCCGCTGGTTTCGGGCTGTCTCTTCTCTCCTGACCGATGCTAAGGGATGTCTTAGGGTAACACACACACCGCAACTCCAGACTCCACGTGAGCCCACTCAGCCTCTTACTTGCTTTCATCGCTTTCAGGTTTGCATTTCAGGCTTGCTTTTTTTCAGCCACCAAACCTCTATTCCGAGTTGAAAATATAATTTAAAAATTATTATGCTTTGAAATGTTTTGTTAAGAAGCCGATAGAAAGGTGAAAGGGCCAGTGCCAACCACAGTCCTGAAAGATACTGTAAACCAGCAGTCCCCAACCTTTTTGGCACCAGGGACTGGTTTCTTGGAAGACAATTTTTCCACGGCTGGAGGATGGGTAAGGATGGTTTTGGGATGAAACTGTTCTACCTCAGATCATCAGGCATTGGATTCTCATAAGGAGCACACAACCTACTTCCCTCAAATGTGCAGTTCACAGTAGGGTTTGCGCTCCTATGAGAATCTAATGCCTCCTGATCTGACAGGAGGTGGGGCTCAGGTGGTCATGCTTGCTAACCTTTTGCTGTGCACCTCGGTTCCTAACAGGCTGTGGACTGGTACCAGTCCGCGGTCCAGGGCTTGGGGACCCCTGCTATAAACCAAAGAGTGTCTGAGACGGGTCTCAATCTATTTAGAGGTTCATTTTTCGAAGGTTGAGGATGCACTTGGGGAAAAAGAGACACAAGTCACAGTAGGATCTGTGGCCTGTGCTTTTTCCAAGGAGAATTTTGAGGACTTCAATATTTAAAGGGGAAAGGGTGGCAGGAGGGGCAGAGGGAAAGAAAAAAAAGGGAGGGAGGGTATGTCAGGAGGTGAGTGGTTACATTCTTGTAAGGTAAGTGAGTCCTACCTTCTTGCAAGATTTGGATTAGTGCTCACTGAATCCACATGTTACATGTGAAAGGAGAGGTCGAAGAACAATTACTCATTTGTCTGACTTTCAGCAAATCTGCATTTTACATAAGATAAAAGCAAGCATACAGGAGAAGGAGGCGGCAGCAATCACGCGTTTGTCTTGGAGTGGGCAGAGGGATGATTTCTAGTTCTGTCTTTGTCCAGTACCTGTTTAAGATAAGCTATTAATTTACGTCATCATGTGGGCGCGGTGGCTCAAGCCTGCAATCCCAGCACTTTGGGAGGCCGAGGTGGGTGGATCACTTGAGGTCGAGTTTGAGAACATCATGGCCAACATGGTGAAACCCTGTCTCTACTAAATATACAAAAATCAGCCAGGCGTGGTCGTGTGCCCCTGTAATCCAAGCTACTTGGGAGGCTGAGGCACGAGAATCTCTTGAACCCGGGAGGTGGAGGTTGCAGTGAGCCAAGCCTGTGCCATTACACTCTAGCCTGGGTGACAGTGCAAGACTCCGTCTAAAAAAAAAAAAAAA